GAATCAGTAAGCTAGCAGGGGAGGAAGAGATAGTACAGAAAAAGTAGAATAATCAATGACCTTGGAGATTTCAGACAAATCAGATTTTCTACTGAAGACAGGGATATAAATAGCCCAAACACAACACAGACACTGAAACAAAAGCGACCAACTCAACTTTCTTGTTTGAAAACTTGTCAGGCCTAGAGAACTGTTCAGATTACAGCTGCTAATGGTTATGCATTTGGCAATCAAAATGTCTTTGCAAAATAAAAAGGTTTTAACTGCCTTACTAGTGAGGTTACAGACCACAGCCTTAATGCATTGTTGCAGTCAACATCCTCCCTGCTACTTCTGAATACTTCTATCAGCTGCCGCCCCATAAAACAATGGCAAATTGCATTCCAGAGGCATATAGGAGTTTTCCCTACAAGGTGCTCATCTGCTTTCCTCTCAAGTGGAAACCACAGCCTCTCTATCTCATCCCTACCTTGTCTAGTTTGATCCTCTCATTAGGCAGGCTGATAAGGTTCTAGAGGGATTCTTCTCTGGTACAAATCAGTCATGCCATGACATTAATCTTAGATGGCAAAAGACCTAGGCCAGAGTGATAGCACACTGGTTAAAGTACCTGCCTCATTCTCAGCCAATCCCAATCTGATCACTGCATATGAAACCTGAGCCCCACTAGGATGGAGCCCTGGCCTGAGCATCACTGGGTGTGACCCCCCAACTCCCCTACCCCCCAAAAAGGAGAAACAAGTGTAAAGCTAGAAAAAAAGCTTTTTTTTTTTTTTTTTTGCTTTTTGGGTCACACCCAGCGATGCACAGAGGTTACTCCTGCTGCACTCAAGAGTTACTCCTAGCGGTGCTCAGGGGACTATATGGGATGCTGGGAATCGAACCCAGGTTGGCTGTGTGCAAGGCAAATGCCCTACCTGCTGTGCTATCGCTCCAGCCCCGAGGAAAAGCATTTTAAGAACAAATTTTTTTTTTATTTTTGGGTCACACCTGGCATTGCACAGGGGTTATTCCTGGCTCATGCACTCAGGAATTACTCCTGGCGGTGCTCGGGGGGGGGACCATATGGGATGCTGGGACTCGAACCCGGGTCGGCTACATGCAGGCAAACACCCTACCAGCTGTACTATCGCTCCAGCCCCCAGGAACAAATTTTTTAAAGCCACTTAGAATGCAGTACACTTGATTTTAAACCAGCTCTAACAAAGCATTTTGGGGGGCTGGAGTGGTAGATAAGGTGTTTGCCTTGCACATAGCCAACCCAGGTTCAATTCCCAGCATCCCATATGGTTCCCTGAGCACTGCCAGGAGTAATTCCTGAGCACAGAGCCAGGCGCAGCCCCTGTGCATTGCTGGATGTGACCCCAAAAAGAAAAAATAAATAACAAAATATTTTTGCTGTTTTTTTTTTTCCTTTTTGGGTCACACCCGGCGATGCACAAGGGTTACTCCTGGCTCTGCACTCAGGAATGACTCCTGGCGGTGCTGAGGGGACCCTATATGAAATGCTGGGAATCAAACCCAGGTTGGCCGCATGCAAAGCAATGCCCTATCCACTGTGCTATCGCTCCAACCCCATTTTGCGTTTTTTTTTTTTTAAGCACTGTAGCACTGTCCTCCCGTTGTTCATCAATTTGCTCGAGCAGGCACCAGTAACTTCTCCATTGTGAGACTTGTTGTTACTGTTTTTGGCATATCGAATACGTCACGGGTGGCTTGCCAGGCTCTGCCGTGAGGGCGGGATACTCTTGGCAGCTTGCCGGGCTCTCCGAGAGGGGCAGAGAAACTGAACCCGGGTCGGCCACATGCAAGGCAAATGCCCTACCTGCTGTGCTATCACCAAAGAGAACTTAGTATATTTTAACTAATCAAAGAAAGGACAAGTATGTGAGGTCTGGAAGTAAAATTACTGAGTTCCTTTGGCAAAGGAAAAAGTTAAGAACAGGATACAGATATAAAATGTGGCCCAAGTACAGAGTAGATTGAGCTGAAATGTAAATTGGAGTCACACTGGTTTTCAAAGAAAATGTAATTCAGTTGCATGATGAGAAATGAATGTGGAAATACAGAGAGAAGACACAGCCCTGGAAACTGTATCCTGGATCATTCTAGTAAGCTGGCCGCCAATGAGGTTTAAATAAAAAACATACTCCAGCCGCGGTACCACAGCTGTAGGGCGTTTGCCTTGCACATGGCCAACCTGACCAACCCGGTTCAATTCCTCCACCCCTCTCAGAGAGCCTGGCAAGCTACTGAGAGTATCTTGCCCACATGGCAAAGCCTGGCAAGCTCCCCCTGACATATTCAATATGCCAAACACTGTAATAATAAGTCTCACAATGGAGACATTACTGGGTCTGCTGGAGCAAATCGATGAACAACGAGAGGACAGTGACAGTGACCCAGATTAAAACTTTTTAAACTCTGTATATCATAGGCCCTCAGTTCTGTGACACTTAAGCTAGAGGGGTGGGTAATCTTCTGCAATAAAAAAGTTTGGGATCTGGGGGCTGGAGCGACAGTACAGCGGGTAGGGCGTTTGCCTTGCATGCAGCTGACCCAGGTTCAATTCCCAGCATCCCATATGATCCACCGAGCACCGCCAGGAGTAATTCCCAAGTGCAATGCCAGAAGTAACCCCTGTGCATCACCAGGTGTGACCCAAAACGAAAAAGAAAAAAAAACTTGGGATCGGGCCAGAGAGATGGTTCAAGGGAGTGAGTACAAGCTCCACACTGTATCCTGGATCATTCTAGTAAGGTCCGCTGAGCACTGCCAGGAGTAATTTCTGAGTGCAGAGCCAGGAGTAATCCCTGAGCATCGCCGGGTGTTACCCAAAAAACAAAAAACAAAAAACAAAAAAAAAACAAAAAAAAAAGAAAAGGTTAGAGAGGATGAAAAAGAAGTAATCAATTCCTTTTTCAAAAAATGGAATGGGGACCAGACCCAGGGCATTACACATGTAAGGCAAATGCAGTCATGAAAGGCAAGTATAAAATAAATTTGTAAAACAAAGAATGCACTAAAAATAAAATTAAGCACATTTTCTTTTGTATGGAGGTAGAAGCCCTACTGCCTAAAATAAGTGTTTAGTGGCTGGAGCAATAGCACAGCGGGTAGGGCATTTGCCTTGCCAGGTTCAATTCCCAGCATCCCATATGGTCTCCTGAGCACTGCCAGGGGTAATTCCTGAGTGCAGAACCAGAAGTAACCCCTGTGCATCTCCAGGTGTGACCCAAAAGGCAAAAAAAATTGAAAAGAAAAATAAGTGTTTAAAGAACAAGACCTTACAGGGAGGTAAGTCTCTTCATGCTTCATGCATTTAGAATTTCTGTAGGTATGAGTCTAAACATCATCTCAAAGTTTTTTATTGGAGTTTTCCTATTAAGGTCAATTCCTTCAGCTCCCTCTGCTGTTATAAAAGAGTATTACAGCTATGTTTAGTTCCATCTTTAGTAACTGAAATTCTTTTTTTATTTTTTTTAATTTTTTTTCCATTAATTTTATTGAATCACCGTGAGATAGTTATAAGCTTTCATGTTTGGGTTACAGTCACACAATGATCAAACACCCATCCCTCCCCCAGTGCACATTCCCCACCACCAATAATCCCGGTATAACCCCCCTTTCCCACCCTCCCTCTGCCTCCATGGCAGACATGATTCCCCATAATCTCTCTCTACTTTGGGGCTTTATGGTTTGCAATACAGATCCTGAGAGGTTATCATGTTTGCTCCTTCATCTACTTTCTGCACACATCTCCCATCCTGAACAATTCCTCCAGCCATCTTTTTCTTAGTGATCTCTTCTCTATTTCAGCTGCCTTCTCCCCTTTGCTCATGAGGCAGGCTTCCAGCTATGGAGCAATCTATCTGTCCCGTGTATCTACTATCCTTAGGTGTAATGACTGAAATTCTTAAAATACACTTAAACACACATATCTTCTTACACAAAAACACACAAACAAACATGGCACAATCTAGACAGTGTTCAAGCACACATTTGCCATTTATGAATTCTCTGGCGTAGGTTCAATATTGCAGACTAAGTAATAATAATTAATCCTATGATCCCACCATTTCAAGGGATAACAAAGGCTTCTTGATGAGCAGTAGAGAAATTTGATGGACTTGACAAACAGTACAAAGGGAAAGGCTCTTGCCTTACATATGGCTGACCTAGTTTAATTCCCGTCCCACCTCTGGGGCAACCCATAAGCACAGGATGAAGAATAGACCCTGAGCACTGCTGGGTCTATTTTGTGCCTCCTACCCCCAAACAAAATAAAAACAAAAGTAGCAAAATTTCATTAAAGGAAAGGAACCTTATATTAGGTGAATTGTGGCAATAACTTATTATTAAAATTTAAATTAAGTCCCCCAGAAAAGATAAAGAAAAGCATGACTGTTTTTGTTTGTTCTCTGGTTATTTTTCTCCCCAATAAAAATCTCCTGCCTGGGTCAGAGAGATAGTACAGTGAATAAGGCACTTACTTTGCATGCAGCCAACCCAGGTTTGATCTCTAGCACAACCTATGGTCCCCTGAGCCCCATCAGGATTATCCCTGAGCCCAGAACAAAGAATAAGCCATAAGTACTGCTGGGTGCTATCCTCCCCACCCCAAACTGCTCTTGCATTGAATGCAGGAGACTTGGGTTTGATTCCTGGCACTTAAATTATCTCTATGTGTGTGTTTATATAGAGGAAGTTGATAATAACTTACTGTTGCTCAGATACTGTATTGAAGGATACATAAGTTAGTTGTAATACAAAACAAGCATCTGGGAGTTGGAGATATAGTATATTGAGTAGGACATTTGCCTCACACACGACTAACCCAGGTTCGATCCCCAGCATTGCACATCTGGTTCCCCAAACCCCACCAGGAATGATCCCCAAGCAGAGAGCCAGTGGCAAGCCCTGAGTACCACCAGATATGCCCTAAAAAACAATACACAAAATACCCAAGCATCTGTTCAAGAGAAATAATCTTTACTCACCTGATCCTTAAATTGCTTCTGGGACAAGCAATCAATTAGGTCCACACAGCCTAGAAGACAGCCTGATGGATAGTCACTGGGAAATTCCACATCTGAATCAAGAGTAAGAAAAGAATTGGATTCCTTCTCCCTCTCACCCTCCCTCCCTTCCTTCCAGCAAACATGAGCTAGTGCCTTTATCCCTGTACTAACTCTCTGGCCCTAAATTTCCTTTTTCTTTCTTTAAGGCAAAGTCATTTTTCACTGAAAGAACTTAAGAGAAATGTGAAGGGAAAGAAAGGGGGATATGTGTTCAAGAGAGAACATGAACTTCTTCAGAGTGAAAGGCTACATTTCAGGGCTAGAGCGACAGCACAGTGGGTAGAACATTTGCCTTGCACGCGGCCAACCTGGGTTCGATTCCCAGAATCCCATATGGTCCCCCAAGTACCGCCAGGAGTAATTCCTGAGTGGAGAGCCAGGAGTAATCCCTCTGCATTGCTGGGTGTGACCCAAAAGAAAAAAAAAAGGCTACATTTCTCTTTTGATCCTAGCACTCATGAATCTATTTGAACAAATGACTTTAGAAGGGAAACAATGAGTATGTTTTTGCTTTTAGCAGGTGCAACTTTGGATTTTGCAAATAATTTGTGAATGAGCTTGCTTAGTATAATTAGTCACATTCTAAAGCTAGAAAAAAATAAATGAACCATTAAAGTTCATTCTACATAGTTTAGTCAAAACACAGTAATTCCACTATATTCAACCTGGATGAGAGTTTCATAAAGATGAGCTTAAGAAACAATTAACCAGTGCTTAAGAGAAGAAAAAAAAAAAAACGAACTTGGAGGCAAGGGTCGGAGAGTACAGGGGTTAAGACATTTAGCTGCCAAGCAGCCGACCCCAGTTCAATCTTTCATATCTCATGCTCTTTAGTGCTGCTGGGAGTAGCTCCCAAGCACTGGCAGGTATGGTCTCCCGTACTTCCCCAGTAAAAGTAATTAATGCTTTCAATTAATCAAATTAATGACAGGAAATAAAAAGGCATCAAGAAGAAAACAAAAGATAAGCACAGACTGATCCTTAAGGATTTAACTTAAGCAAGAGAAGTACATGCCTGGCCCTGAGCGCCAACCTCAGCAGTGTCCCTGCTCCCCTGCCCTTTCCAGCACTGCTGGGGTGACCCTGGCAGACCCAGACCAACTGTAGAAGGGGGTTATGAGGTGGTAAGACAGAGAAAGTGAAGGGAAGGGAAAAGAGAGGAGTGGAGGGGAGGGGCAGAGAGGGAAGGGAAGTGGGAAAGGACTGGAAGGGAGAAGAGGGAACTCAGTGACTGCTCCGTGGAGAAAGGCCTAAGGAGATGTGGCTGTTACCTTTCCCACGAAGCAAGCTGTATGTGGCCTGCAGTTCGGAGACTTCTTGAGGGGCAGGTCTTTTGGCTGTAGCTGCAATCCAAAGTCGTCCTCTGTGAGGAGTGTACCAGCTTCTGCCCTCCACCCTTGAACAAACACAAATTTAGTTGGACAGAGAATTTCTAGCATTCTGGTGGCTCTCAAACAAAGCCTGTTGAACTGATACAGGTAAATTGAGATGTGCAAACGATCACCTACTAGGAAGTAATGTTTGAGGAAAGATGCTCCTCCTACGTCCCTTGTCCTTTGAGTATGAATCCTGTTCTCTAGTTTTTCCAATTATCAGAACAAGAGAGTCATCTCTCCCAGCTTGAAAACTTGATTTTGGGCCACGCCGGCGAAGCTCCTGGCTCTGCGCTCAGGAATTACTCCTGGCGGCCAACCACATGGGATGCTGGGGATTGAAATGGCTAGCAGCATGCAAGGAAAACACCCTTCCTGCTGTACTATAATCTTTACCTTTTAATTCCTCTGACCAGCAGAGAAGCCCAGGGTTGATGCATGGAGAGGCACCAGCCACCATCAAAACCTTCCTGAAACTCCTGGTCCTGGATCCGCAACTGGTGCCGGTAGGAGCTGGACTCTGGTTCTGATCCTGCACGCTGAAAAGCTTTTTTCTGGGAGACAGCACCTGTCTGGTCAATCCACTAAACAAGGAAGAAACCAAGCATGATTCATTCTGACAAGGAAAAACCTAGGGTAGGCAGGTGGGCATAAAAAATGAAATCAGAAAAAAAAAAAAATCACAGGGAACATTTTCTTTGAAAAATGAATAGTACAGAGAGTACAGTATGTAGGGCACCTATAGGGTCCTCCAGTTCCCTTACGCATGATCCCCTGAGCATAGAACCAGGAGTAAGCCCTGAGCAGTCAGGTGTGACCCTAAAACAAAACAAAAAGAAAAATGTATCCTATCTTTAAACAAGGCAGGGGAGGATGGAGATGGAAAACATTCAATGGAAGAGTAAGAGCAGTAAAATGGAACAAGGTCAAGGTCCTTTTCTTGTTTTGTTTTGTTTTGGGACACTGCTGTACTCAGAGCTTATCCTGGCTTCCTGCTCAGGAATCACTCCTGGCAGGATGGAGGACTACCATATATGGGGTGCCAGGAATGGAACCTGGGTGGGCTGTATTTAAGGAAAGCGCCACTGTGCTTTCAGTCCAGTCCCATGAAAGGTTGCACAGACAGGATCATTAGAATGCTGATATCTCCACATGTGGGCTTCCTGATTTGAATAGTCATCAGCATGACTATTCAAATAACTGGTTTATAGTTGTTTCCACTTTATACTTATTAATAATCCATAAAGGACTCTCAACAATATCCAATGTAATCCTGTCAGAAAAATGAAGGGTCAACTTTCTCTGTGTGCCTGGCAGGATCACACATGCTACCATAGGTTGGACACATGCAGCCTCCCCTAAGCCTGGAAGGACATTGCTCCAGCAAGGTTCCATCAGGTAAAGAGAACCAAAAAGTCTGTAGGTGGGGTTAGCATTTGTCAGAAATAAAAAAGGGAAAAAAAAAAAAAAAGAGTCAGCGTACAGCAGTTATGGCACTTGCCTTGGATGTAGCTGACCAGGTTCAACTTCTGACACTCCCGTGCAGACCCCTGAGTCCCACCAGGAGTGATCCCTGAGTAAAGAGCCAGGAGAAAGCCCTGAGGAGTGCCAGGTGTAGCCCACAACCAAAAATAAAACCAAAAACGTTGCCACTGATGATGCTACCACCTGTGATCCCTTGTATACCACCACTGTCAGGGATGGTCCAAATTCTTTTTCCACTGGAGAGCTGGCATTGGAATAATCCTGACAGCCAACTGTTTCATCTCTACTATAGTTTTTTATTAGTTGTTTATTCCCACAGCGACTTTTCCTCATTAGCCTCTTTTCATAATAATGCTTGAGCCTCATATTCTAAAGTCTCCTCATCGACAATTTTTTTGGGGGGTCACACCCGGCAATGCACAGGGGTTACTCCTGGCTCATGAATTCAGGAATTACCCCTGGTGATGCTCGGGGGACCATATGGGATGCTGGGAATCGAACCCGGGTGAGCCGCGCATGCAAGGCAAACACCCTACCCACTGTGCTATCGCTCCAGGCCCTCATGGACAATTTTAGATACTAAGTGACTTTCTACTGTTCTAGCAGTGCCACACTAAGTTAAGCCCTGATCATCGACCCCTCAGAGCCACTGCCAATAATCTACTTCACAATATCCTTGCCTGCCCTATTCAGCCCTCTAATCCATTCTCTACATAGGTATGAAATCAGGGCGATCTCCTGCTAAAACCCTTTTTTTATTCTAGTATAAATGAACACTTCAGGATCTGAACAATAGTACTGCAGGGAGGGCGTTTGCCTTTTATGTTACAACCTGGATTTGATCCCCAGCATTCAAAACGGTCCCCCAAGCAAAGCCAGGAGTAACTCTTGAGTGTAGAACCAGAAGTAACCCTGAAGGATTGCCCAGTATGGCCCCAAAACAAAAACAAACCAAAAAAATAAGAACTTCCCAGAATGAGACACAGGGCTTGATGCAACTTGACCTTAGGGGGCAGTGTCCTAGTAAAATTCATGTCCAGTCAGAATCTGCGAGAGTGACCTTATTTGCAGTTTTTGCAGATGTAATCAAGTTAAGGTAAATCATCCTGGTCTAGGAGGTTCTTATAATGGAGGAAACAGAGTGATAAAGACACACAGGGAGTAAGGTCAGATGAAGATGGAGGCAGAGTTCAGTGATGAAGTCAAGAAACAAGGAGAGCCAGTGTGACAGGATAGCAGTGAGGGCACTTGCCTCATATATGGCTGACCTGAGTTTGATCCCTGACATCCCATAATGTCCCCGATTCTGCCAGGAGTGATCCCTGAGTGCAGAGCCAGGAGTTAAGCCCTGATCACCACTGGACATGGCCAAAAAAAAAAAAAAAAAAGAAAGAAAGAGGGGGAGGAGCCTGGGACCATGGAAAAGTTTTTAAAAAAGGAAGGAAGCATTCTCCTGTGAGGCCTTCAGAAAGGACACAGGCTTGCTGAAACCTCAAATTCAACCACAAACACCAACACCACTATAAACAGGTTACCTTAATTATACTAAATAAAAAAGAATACTGACAATAAGGTTAGGTTGGTTTTTTTTTTAACTTTTTAATTTATTTTCTTTTTTGAGGGGGGGTTTATCCAGTGATGCTCACAGGTTACTCCCGGCTCAGGGGGCCATATGGGATCCTGGGGATTGAACCAGGATTAGCTGAGTATAAGGCAACCCCCTACCTGTCTGTACTACTGCTCCAGCCCAATAGGGTTAAGTTTAATTTTAAAAAGACAATGATTTCAAATTTTAATCTCCCAGATCTGTGAAATTATTAATTTCTTGTATCTGAGCTGCTATTATATATTCATGTACATATTAAACCCTTTAGAATAGAATTTATTTTTGGGGGGGGCCACACATCCAATGACACTTAGGATTTACTTCTGGCTCTGTGCTCAGGGATCACTCCTGGCAGGGTTGGGGTACCATACTATGCTGGTGCTGGGCATAGAACCTGGTTTGGCACAGTGCAGGGAAAATCCCCTACCCACTGTACTAAGGCTCCAGCCCCTATCACAGAATGTATTAAAAGACTGTATGTGGGGTTGAGATTCAAACTGGGGTCCATGTGATGCAAGCCCCTGTATCCTCTGGGCTTCTTCCTGTATTTTCTACCATTCCCAAATATCCATGTCTTAGACACTTTCTTTTCCTTTGTTTTTGTTTTTTGGGAGCGATAGCACAGTGGTAGGGCATTTGCTTTACAAGCAGCCATCATGGCCGACCCAAGTTCAATTCCTCCGCCCCTCTCGGAGAGCCCGGCAAGCTACCGAGAGTATCTCGCAAGCACGGCAGAGCCTGGCAAGCTACCCATGATGTATTCAATATGACAAACACAGTAACAACAAGTCTCACGATGGAGACGTTACTGGGCCCGCTCGAGCAAATCGATGAACAACGGGAGGACCGTGACCGTGACCAGCAGTGCTCAGGATTTACTCCTGGTTCTGTGCTCAGGGATTATCTTGGCAGACTCAGAGACCATATAGGGAGCTGGGGGAATCGAACCCAGGTCAGTTGTGTGCAAAGCAAGTGCCCTACCACTGTACTATCGCTGCAGCCCCATAGTTATTTTGTTCTTGCTAGGGCTCAAATCCAGGGCCTCATGAGCCAAGTGTTCTACCATTCACTCCTGTTGGTGCCTGGGGGACCATGCAGCAGTGGGGATCAAACCCAAGCCGCCTGCACACAAAGCGCAATCTCAGTCCTTTAAACCATCTCTTCAGTCCTCAAATATTTGATCTGTACTTTTATGAGGGGGGGAGGGGACCCTCCTGGAAATTCTTGATTAAATGGGCTAATTGTTCATGCAAGAGGCTGAGATGGCCATGCTGAGACTGACGTTGGTGCTAGGGATAATCTGGTTCACTCTGTCAGTGCTGGAAGCCATCAGGGTTTCACCTCACTATATGATACTTGGGACCAGGTGGTGCTAGGAATTGCGTAGCATGCACCTTAACCTTCGGACTATTTCTTGGTCCCTTTACATTCTTTACTGTATTTTGTTTTTTGACGGCACTTAGAGCATAGGGCTCTATGCTCAGCGATCACTCATAGTAGGACTTAGAGGACCTTATGTGGTGCAAGGGACTGAACCCAAGTCGGTTGTGTGCAAGGCAAGCAACCTTATAGCCACAGTTCGGCCCCCTTTACATTACAAAAAGAAGCCCTTTTATTTATTTTTTTTTTTGTGCACTGCTTTGGCACCTGGCAGTGCTAAGAGGTAGGGTGGGGGGCTCCTGGCACTGCTTAAGTAACCATGAGGTACCAGGGGTCAAAACCTTTTCACTGCATGCAAGTCAAGGCAAGCACCTTAACTACTGTATTCTCTCCAGGACCCTTACTTTTAATTAAAAAAAAAAAATGGGGCCAGAGAAATAAAATAACCCATAAGGTGCTTGCCATGAAGGCAGCCGACTCAGGTTTAATCTGTAGAACTAAATATAGTCTCCCAAGCTGCCAGAAGTGATCTCTGAGCACAGAGACAGTAATAAGTCCTAAGCACCACCAGGTATGGCCCCCTCCGAAAAGAATGTTGAACAATGCTTACTCTAGATGTATAATCTTCTCTTGGGAAATACTCATATATGATAATGCAGGTTGGGCCAAAGAGAGGACAGTGGTTAAGGCATTTGCCTTATATGCAGCCAAACCAGCTTCAACCCCTAGTAACCATATGGTGCCAAGCATGCTGGCACTGACCTCCAGGCACATAGCCAGCAGAAGACCCCACCTGAAAACCACCATGTATGACCCCTGTAATCACAGCCCACCCCTAAAAAAATATAAAGATAGTGATACAGTTTAAATGGATAGAAATACTGCAAGAATAAGTGAGAGAGCAGACTGGTATCTCCAGCCTAGGGGAAAAACATACTTAGGAGAAGCATCTGGGTTCCCAATTCTCTCATAAGTAGTTAGAACATGATGGCCCACTAACCTGGGGAGGGGGATGGTACAGGTTTGGGTTCACCAAAACTCCTAAAGGTTCATCAGAAGATCTATCCAATTTGGTCGGTGGTTGGTAGAAGGTTCCATTGGCAATGGCCTGTATTGTCTCATCTAGTCTGAGAAGAAACCAAAAGGAAGTAATAATTGGTCATGTTCTATGCTCGGAAAATCTTTGCCATATGAAAACTGTAACAGTAATACAACCTGAAATTCAAAAATGGGGCAAAGGATAATGTTCCCTGTTCTTCTACCCCAACTTCCTTCTCTTCACTGCCAAGTATCTAAGTGAATATAGTATTAGTCCTAACACATCAAGAAAACAGGCAGTGCATATTACAATCATTCATCTGTTTAACGAGATTGTTATTAAAAATGCCAAGATTGGGGCCAGAGCAAAACAGTACAGCAGGTAAGGCGCTTGCCTTGCATGCAACCGGCTCAGTTTCAATTCTCAGCATTCCATATGGTCCCCCAACCACCACCAGGAGTAATTTCTGAGTGCAGAGACAGGAGTAACTCCTGAGCATTGCTGGGTTTGACCCAAAAGGCAAAAAAATAAAAAAGCCAAGATGATGGAGCCAGAGTGATAGTACAACAGGTAGGGCACTTGTTTTGCTCACAGCTTACCCAGGTTCAATCTCTGGCACCGCATAAGATTCCATGAGCCCCACCAGGTGTGGATTCCTGAACACAGCCAGGTATGTCACTCAAAACTCAAAACTAGACAAAATGCCAAGATTAGAAGATTTACTTATAACATTCAATAACTCTGACTACTCAGAAGTGTTTCTCTCCTGACAAGTGTGTCTATCTTGGTTTCATGGCCCAGATGTTTTGAACATAGCCCTGGCCCAGCACAGACACACTTACTACCCCTTTCTCTGATGTTGAAGAGCACCCACTGTTAAGTCATCATATACATCTCATGTGATCTAGTACCCACGGTGCAAGATTTGAGTGTTTCCTCTAAACTTAAAAAAAAAAATGTAATTTTTATTTTAAGATTTTGGAACTAACCCTACTATTAAGACATCACTGGTCTTGCAGAACCATTAATTCTACTCTACAGATCTCTTTGCTCCTGTACTAAATTGCCCTGCCAGAAGCTTGACAAACATTTGTAAATTACAAGGCACAATATTATGAAAAGCTTCCACTGATAGGAAAGGCTGACTTAGACCTTGCCCTTGGTACAGTGAAATAATTACCTGTTTGGTACTTCTTACATGCAAGGCAACTTAAAAGGTGTAGAGGACATGGTTCCTGCCTTTAAAAAAAGCTTTGAAGCAAGTGGCAGGTTTAAAAAAGCTATAAAAATGATGGAATATTAAAAAACACAAACAGACATATAATTATTCCTGAGAGACACATCCATCTAGCAAGTATTACCCCATCATTTCATGTGGTGTACAAGTAGGTTACAAGTGGTGTACAAGTAGCTATCTGAAAGAGAAAGTTTGTTGGCTGATTGATGTGGTGGTGGTGAAAAAAGGAAAAAAATATCAAAGAGAAAGTTTGGAGGAGGGATTTTTGAAACCAAGAAAAAAGCAGGGAAAAAGGCATGAAGCTAAAAACAAAAAGAACACAAATTTGAAGGAAGAGATGAGTCTAAAACACAATTATGGGATCTGAAGAAGGGAAATAGGTTTTAGACACAGGACAGCGATTGGAGTCTGTGGATAGAGAACAGTGCATAAGACTCGCATGTAGCCAACTTGAATATGATCTGGGCACCCAACAGGGTCCCAAGCCCCACCAGGAGTGATCCCTGAGCTCAGAATCAGGTGTAAGCCCTGAGTATAGATGAGTGTGGGTCTCAAATAAAACAAAACACTGGTACAGTGATAGATTATATATCCAGTTTCTCTTATCCACTGAGAAGTGTTGGGCAGCAGAGAGGGGACGGCACACTGCTGATGTGGTTCAGGTAATGGTGCAGGTCCAACAGTTCGTAGGAGCTTCCAGGCTTGGACACACGTGTTGTGGTGTCAAACTCAAGGTCTCAAACAGGCCAGGCATGTGCACTACCACTGAAATTCTCTTTCTACACCAAATTAGTGAATTTTGGGGCCAGAGCAATAGTACAGTGCGTAGGGCATTTGCCTTGCAGGCAGTGGACCCGAGTTCCATCTCTGCATGTCATATAGTTCCCCCGAGCACTGCTAGGAAAGATTCCTGAGTGCAGAGTTAAGAGTTAATCCTTGAGCATTGCCTGGTGTGACCCAAAAAGAAACAAAAACAACAACAAAAACCCCCAATCAGTGAATTTTTATGAACGTGGTGACTTACTGAAAAATAAGTCAGCAAATGAGAAAATATGAGTAAAAATCATTAATACATTAGTCAAATATTTTATGTGCCAGAATATCAAGTGATTTTAAGAATTTTTCAGAGGGGAGCACTGGACAGATAGTACAGTGGATAGGGTGCTTGCCTTGCATATGGCCTAGAGGGGATGTAATATCATTTTCACTATTTGTGACATATGTAACCACTCTAACATGGATGGTTGATTAGGGGAGCAATCCTGGGGCATGTGGGAAATTTTAGTACCTTTACTTCCACTTTGCTGGAAACCTAAAGCTCCTTTTAAAAAGTCTAATCTAGGAGCTGGAGTGATAGTACAGTAGGCCATACCCATTGGTGCTCAGGTTTTACTCCTGGTGGTGTTCCAGGAACACATGTGGTGTCAGGGATTGAACCTGTGTAGACGGTGTGAGAGGTAAGTGTCTTTCACACTGTCCGATCTCCCAACCACCTGGGCAATTCTTCACTATCAATCTGTCCCATATGCAGAACCTGTCTGGTGATGCCCACTTACTTGTTGTGATACTCTGCTAGTGGATTCTCACTTTCCACTATCTTCCTGCCTGCAAAGTCAATGGTGATCTTCTTAGAGAGCTGAGAAGCATGTCGAAATTCTCTCAGTTCCTCTTCTCGTTTCTGTAGGGCTTCTCGCTCAATTTTTGACAACCACTGATTAGAATCACTGGCAAAGTAATCTGATTCATCATCAATAACTTGGGTTCTTCGAATGCTAAGGAACAAAGAAAGGTAAGAAGTCAACTTACTGATAGACACTTCACTTCAGAGAAACTGTTGCAAGGTAGTTCACTCCTGCGCTATTCTTTCCGGTTATTATTTCAAACACAAGTGCCCAAGAATGGTCCCAAACCAGGTCATTTGCATAACTTCCCAGCACATGCCCAGTGTAGGGTCAGCTTAGCAACTGTGCTAATCTCTTTCTGAGCAAGGAAGACACACAGTGACCCTTGTCCACATTCTGTCCTATAGACCCAGCACTTCCTTCCGGCCTGTTTCTACAGCACTGGACTTCAGGTCTTTGCCACTTACTCATCGTGATCTCTTCCCACTCCCACACCATCTATTGTTGCTAGGCCCAGAAGCAATTTTTACCCTTAGAAACAGAAATTCTAACATGGATTATTTGTAGATTACTCTACAGACATCCTATTGTTCCATTATTATGTCTGTTTCCATAGCCCCAACCACCAGTCAATCCCACAAATTTATCTCCCTCACTAACACATAGGGACCAAGTTCCAGAGAATCAGGCCTACTTCATTTTTGGGGCCACCCAGGGCTGTGCTCAGGGATCACTCCTAGCAGGATTCGTGAGACCGTATGTGAAGCCAAGATTGGTCATGTGTAAGGCAAGCTCCCTACCCATTGTATTCTTTGAATTCAGGTTTGCTTCTAAGATCATACCAAAACACACATCACAGGGAATCTACACATATCCTTTTTCTACAGATAATGAGTATGTAGAGCTCAATGAAGTTAGGTGATGCCAAAGTCACAAATCCAGTTAAGAATAATTATAAACTCGTGACTCACACGGGCAAAGGCAATTACTTAAAATCAAATTCAAACAGTGATTTTAATTTTCTGGTCTCAGCTGGAATTGTAGAAGCTTTAGAGTAGTTTGAGGGTATGAAGAGAACTTATGAGAAAACTGGTCCCATATACAAACATAGATAATTAAACTGATACCCTCAAACACACCAGCAAAGGGCACAAAAAATAGCAGAGGCCCTTTCCAGTTTTTATTTGTTAAGAAATGTACTTCAGGGGCTGGAGAGATAGCACAGCGGGTAGGGCGTTTGCCTCACACACGGTCGACTAGGGTTCGATTCCCAGTATCCCATATGAGCACTGCCAGGAGTGATTTCTGAGTGCAAAGCCAGGAGTAACCCCTGTGCATCGCCGGGTGTGACCCAAAAAAGCCAAAAAAAAATTGTACTTCAGGTGCTGAAGAGATAGTACAGCATGTGTTTGCCAACCCGGGTTTGATCCCCAGCATGCCATAAGGTCCCGAGCACTGCCAGGAGTGATTCCTAAGTGCAAAGCCATGAGTAACCTCTAAGTATTGCCAGGTGTGGCTCAAAAACCAAAACAGAATGAAAGAAAAGAAATGTATTTAGGCTCTAATCCTATTTCTAATGATAAGATTTACGAACAGAGAAAAAACTGGTATTAATAATGAGTTACAGACCTTATGCTGGGCTCACCTAAGAAATAGCTCAATAGGTTGTATCTCATGTATTCATAGCAGATGGTCTGGGAGTGCTAAGTGTGCCTTGCAAAAGCATTACGATGCCAGGAATCAACTCCCAAATGAGCTAGAGTAACTAAGAAATTTGGAGTTGACTGAAGATCCTTGCATGGCCATCTGAGAACTGAGGTATACATCCTAAACAACGCTTTTACTAACAGATTATCCACGCATTATTTTCCCAAAAGCAAAAGAAAGTAAGGCAGGGCCAGAGAGAGAGAATACAGTGGGTAAGGAGCTTCCCCTGCATGTGGTTGACCCCAATTTGATTCCCGGCACCCCAGACAGTCCCCTTAACTCACCAGGAGCAATTCCTGAGCACAGAACCAGGGGTAATCCCTGAGTACAGTCAGGTGTGACTCAAAAACAACAATAAAAAAAAAAAAAAACAATGACATGATGTGCTCCGGGGTCACAACTGGTGATGTTCAGAGGACAATCTCTGGGTGCCAGATTGGAGCCAGAGTTGTCTAGAAGCCCCACACTACCCCACAGTATCTCTCCAGAGTCATAGGCAATTTCGTCCAGTCTCCCAAGCTCAGAACATTAGTTTTGCATGAGCGATAGCACAGCGGTAGGGCATTCGCCTTACAAGTGGCCAACATGGCTGACCCAAGTTCGATTCCTCCGACCCTCTCGGAGAGCCTGGCAAGCTACCGAGAGTATCTCACCTGCACAACAGAGCCTGGCAAGCTACCCGTGACGTATCCGATATGCCAAACACAGTAACAACAAGTCTCATGATGGAGACGTTACTGGGCCCGCTCGAGCAAATCGATGAACAACGGGAGGACTGTGACTGTGATACCAGACACTGAAATGTCACACCCTAAAAGATGCTGACTACAAAGGACAGGCTGAAAGTGAGCAGAAAATTCTGTCCACTCAAGCTGACTTTTCTTTACCAAAGGTAAACAACTGGTGAAAGCTGTGGAGATGGCTCAAGGGGCTGGAGGCGTGTTGTGGCTAGGTTCAATATTTGCTCCCAAGAACTAGCACCGAGCAGTCTCGATTAAGTAGCCCTGGAAGCACCACTCGAAAAGTTATATACATGACCGAGACTTAAACCTGAAAGCTTTGTAACTTTTTCCACAGTCATTCAATAGATAAATATAGGAAGAAAAAAATAAAATTATGAAAAAAAGAAAAGTTATATACATATAAAAACATATATATGCACACATACACATATATTAACATATATATACACACATACACATATATACACATATCATGGTCACGGTCCTCCCGTTGTTCATCGACTTGCTCGAGCGGGCCCAGTAATGTCTCCTTCATGAGACTTGTTGTTACTGTGTTTGGCATATTGAATATGTCACAGGTAGCTTGCCAGGCTCTGCCGTGTGGGCGAAATACTCTCGGTAGCTTGCCGGGCTCTCCGAGAGGGGCGGAGGAATCGAACTCGGGTCGGCCATGTTGGCTGTGTGCAAGGCAAACGCCCTACCCGCTGTGCTATCGCTCCAGCCATATACACATATAACATACATATATATATATATAATATATATATATATTAACAGGATAGGATTCTTTTAGTGGGAGCCTATCAAACATTAATTCAAGGGACCACAGAGAGAGACTACCAGATTTAAGGGGCTTGCCTTGCATGTAGTCAGTCCTAAATCTATCCCCGGCACCACATGGTACCCACTGCCTCCTTCCTCTGCCAGCACTGAGCTGGGAGTAGACCCCAGGCATCATCAGATATGAGCCCAAATTTAAAAGAAACACACACACACAAACAAATACATGAATTCAAAAAGGAGATGCAGGATGTGAGAGCAATCTGGCTACGACATCTGTCACCCCACTGACCTTCGGAATGGATCTGGCTGACCTGGCTGGCCAGGCAGGTGTCCTCTCCCTCACCGTTGCATGTGCATTCCTCCCAAAGCTGCACAATGGTGGAAGAGGACAGCCTTGCCTAGATAGAGACAGACTATTCTTGGGTCAAGGGCATACAAGTGGCTGCACTCCCCTGCTCGGACCTCCAAACAAGCTCCAAAAGGAGATGTAAGCCTTGTACATAAAACACTGAGTTGCTTTATTACTGTAAACTTTTTACACTGTGCCAAGAAGATATCAACTGCCTAAATAATGCTTTAGCAGCTATTAATAAAAGAATTATTCTGTTTCTTACATTTTAAAATTTTTAAGGGGAACACTCACAGTGGTGCTGGGGGCCACTGGGCGATAAACAGAGATACTCTGAAACTCTGGGGCCACGTATCAGTGGCAGGGGGCAGGCAATGCCAGGGCTGGACTCAGGGTATGAACATGGTAGGCCTATATTCTAACTCTGAGTCCTTTTTTGCAGTGCCAGGGACTGACCAAGTGAAGAATGTACTTTACAAATGAGCTACATCTGGGCCCAATATTTGTTATTACAAACACATCATACCTAGTTCTGTCAAATTCTAATAGCTTGTCTTTATGCTTGATAGCCTTTTCCAGACCACACTTAATTCTGAGCTCCTGGTGAGGAAGAAGGTCCTTGGTAGAGAGATCAATCTTTCCAGAATTTTCTGTCCCTGAAATTCAGTAAGCAAATAAAATGGTGTCAGCCTCTAATAAAATCAGTTGTGTCACTGTGCTGCAAAGAATAAAATATGAGATCCAGCTCTGCCCCTGCTTGCCCATAGCTTTCATTTCAAAGAAAGTACTGGGACGGAGTGATAGTATGGCTAGTAGGACATTTGCCTTGTATGTGGCTGATCTGGGTTCAATCCCTGGTATCCCATATGGTCCCCCGAGCATCGCCAGGAGTAATTCCTGAGTGCAGAGCTAGGAGTAACCTATGCATCGCCAGGAGTGACCCAAAAAGCAAAAGAAAACAAGTACTCAGGTCAGGTTTTCCCTGTGAAATGTCGAACAACACTTGGCACATAACAGATTTTTGACCAAAATCAAGCTCTCTTTCTCCACTGATAGCCATCTGGATCACTCATGGCACCAGGCCGTTCACCAACATAAGAAAGCTTTCTAAGTGTGTGGTTGCTAATGACCATCACAGTTAAGTTTGTGACGACAATCAAGAGAAGGGGGCGTTTTGTTTTGGTGTTTGTTTTTCTGGGCCATATCCAAGTGTGCTCAGGGCTTACTCCTGGTTCTTTTTTTCTCAGGGGTCACTCCTGGCTGGTTTGAGGGACTGAACCTGGGTCAGCTATGAACAAAGCAAGTACCCTACCTGCTGTACTATTGCTCAGGCCCCTGGGTGTTTTATTTTGGCTTCTGGGTCACACCCGATGGTGTTCCCGAGCTTTTTGCGATTCTGTGGTTAGGGATTACAACTGGCTGATATATGTGGTGCCAAGATCAAATAGGTTCCACAGTATACCTGACTCCTGTACTATCCTCGAGGTCCCTAAACATACTTTTATGACTGGAGACGTAGCTCAGTGATAGAGCACTTGCCTTGCATGTGTGAAGCCCTGGGTTTGATACTGCACACAGCAAAAAAGAAAGAAAATGAGGCCAGGGTAATAATACAGCAGGCAGGATGGCATGCGGCTGACCCAGGTCTGATCCCTAACACCCCATATGGTCTCCTGAGCTTCACCAGGAGTGATCTCTGAGCACAGAGCCAGGAGTAAGACCTGAGCACTGCCAGGTGTGGGACCCCCAAAAACAAAACAATAACTTTTAATACAAATAAGTGTTCTGAAGAGCAGTGACTACACTGCACATCAGGGGAGAGTCAAGCACAGGCCGCCCAGTGGCTGTCACCAGACTGTGCGATCAGAGGCTGCCACCTACCTGCCATGAGCTTCTTGAAGAGCTTCTGGCTTTTGTTCGAGTCACGCTGTAAAATATCCTGTTCCTCACGAGTACACACCTAGAAAGTGAGAGCAGGAAGGAACAACAGATCCAGTGTTAGCCTGGACACTGGTAAAGTGAAGCTCTTTGCTGTGTTTCATCTCGGAAGCTACAAAATAACAACCCAAATAAACATAAAAGACAAAAAACAAACAAAAAAAACCTTACTCTCAGGGTTGGAGCAATAGTATAGCGGGTAGAGCATTCGCTTTATATGTGGCAGACCTGGATTTGATCCCCGGAATCCTATATGATCGCCTAAGCACCGCCAGGAGTAATTTTTTTTTTCTTTTTATTGAATCACTGAGATATATGCTTACAAAGCTATTCATGATTAGATTTCAGTCATACAGTATTCCGACACTCATCCCTCTACCAGTGACACTTCCCAGCACCAGTGTCCCCAGGTTCCCTCCCTCACCCCCCATCCCCTGCCTGTCTCTATGGAAGGCACTGTTCTTTTCTTTCTCTTCTCTCTCTCTCTCTCTCTCTCCTCTCCCTCTCCCCCACCCTTGGGCATTGTGTTTGCAATATTGATACTGAAAGGTTATCAAGAATATCCCTTTACCTACTTTTAACACTCAGATCTTGTCCAATATGATCATTCCCTCCTGTTGTCATATTGGTCTCTTCTCTATCTTACCTACCTTCAGCCCCCCACACACTTGTCGTTAGCTCCAACCAATCCTCCTATCCCGTTTTCCCTGCCCTATTAGATTTGATCTTCTACTATATATATATATATAACAAATGAATGCAGTCATTCTATATCTGTCCCTTAAGAGTAGCTTTTTAGTGCAGAGGCAGGAGTAAACCCTGAGCACCACTGAGGGTATTTCCAAAGTCAATCCCTCCCTACCTAACCTCCCCCACTACTAAAAAAAAAAAAATAGCGCCTTCTATTGTTTTGTTTTTTTGGTTTTGGGGCAAAAAAACCCTCCCAAAAACAAGCACCCTGGTGAAGCTCAGGGATTACTCCTAGCAACGCGAGGAACCATATGTGGTGCAGGGGTATCTGCACTGTACTATCGCTCCTGCTCCAAGTCTTCTACTTCTAATTACGAAATTAAAATCTTTCCTTTTTTTTTGGTTTTTGTGTCACACCTGGCAGTGCTCAGGGCTTACTCCTGGCTGTGTTCAAGGCATACACCCTACTCACTTACTAGCTCTCTTACTATCACCCCACATAATTACTATCTCACCAGCCCAAATCTTACATACAAAATATAATCAGGGATCTTATTAAAAAGGAACAGAAGAAGCAAATTACAATACTATTCAGTAAATACCAGTTTTATACTATTTTGTTTCTCTGCTTCAATTATCAATATGTCAAACAAGGAAGAAGTTCTGTTTATATGGAAATTATAAAAATGGAGGTGATAAAGAGGCTTAAAAACAATTTTATTTTGAGCTTATAAAATTGCAAGATTTCACAGTCAATCTGCTTTACACAACAGTTTTTTGAGCTTAACGAATCAAGGGACCAAGCAGAAAACACTGCAGCTCTAAGCAGCTATTTCAAGAAGCACACACAAGATCCTGCCAGTGTTTATAAAATGTTCCTTCTAAAGAAACACCCACTCAAAAAGAAATTTACTGTCATTTGTCTTTTTTTCTGTTGTTGGTTTTCTTGTCTGTGCTTTTGAGCTACAACTGGCAGTGCTCCGGACATGCTCCTGGCTCTGTGCTCAAGACGACTCATATGATCAGGGACCACATGCTATGCCAGAGACCAAACCTCACATGTGCTTATCACCAAGAACATTCTGGCCCTAATTTGTCACTTTATAAACATTTTTGATGACAAAAAACATCTCTTTTTTGTTTTGGGGCCACACCTAGCACAGGGCTGGCTTTTGGCTCCGTGTTCAGGGATCTCCTGATGGTGCTCAGTGGAACATAAAAGGTGCTGAGGATTGAACCCAAGTTGGTTGCAAGGCATATGCCCTGCCCACCATACCATGTAGCCCCCCCCAACACAACATATCTCAGGTCATCTATTATTTTCTCTGAGAATACTAAGTGTATATATATATATATATGTTTACATAGAAACATATTACAAACACATATATTATAAAGATATTCACTAAATGTGTATGTCACAACATATCTCAGGTCATCTATTATTTTCTCTGAGAATACTAAGTGTATATATATATATATGTTTACATAGAAACATATTACAAACACATATATTATAAAGATATTCACTAAATGTGTATGTCCCATCAGAGAAGGAAAAACAAAACAGTATAAAAGGACTGCCTTCGGTGACACTTAGGCCCCTGCTTCTGCCAGCGGCCCATTAGCAGAGTAAGCCTTCTAGACCACTCATTACAGTGTTTACAGAGATACTTCTGCAACACTGCTGGGGCATTCTCATAGAAATCACAGGGCTATAAAAAGGAAGCAAAAGCTGGAATGGCCTGAAGAGTATGAAGAGTATGTCAGGGTGGCTCTGTTCGTCAGAGAGGTGAACCATATCTGAGAACTTGAACAAAAACTTTGAATATTTTACCCTTCGGTTATCTTAAAATTTAACTGTTACAGGACTTAGATTTCTGGCCAGAGATAGCACAGGAAAGGAGGGAGGGCGCTCGCCTTGTATGTGGCCAATCTCAGTTCAACCCAAGTACAGCCAGGACTCTGGGCCTGAACTGAGCCAGGAATAACCCAAGTGCTGCCAGGTGTGGACCACATCCCACCCCGCACCCAAAGGAAAAAAGACTTGGACTCCTTAACAATATATATTTTTTTAATTTTTCTCAAGGGCCAGAGAGCTAGTGCAGCGAATAGAGTGTTTGCCTTTCATGTTCTCAACCCAGTTTGATCCCTGGCACCCCAGATGGTTTCTTGAGCCCAACAAGAGTGATCCTTGAGCACAGAGCCAAGAGTAAGCCTTAAGTACCATGAGTGTGAGCCCTCCAGCCTCCCTTCCCCCAAAAAGAAAGGTTTGAAAATACCCTTTCTCACTAAAAAAAGCAAAAATATTAGGAGCTACTAATGAATTAAATTCCTGTTGCTAGAGTTTCTGAACATGATAAAGGAGAAACAGTGAGTGACAAAGAGAACTCAGTCAGGAGGTGAATGGCATAATAAAACAGAAAAGAGCCAGCTTACCAGAGAACCGCAGAATAAGCAGGGGCCAGAACCCTCTTGTTCACAGACGATGCGGCCGCAAACCAGACAGTTATTGATGAGTTTGTGCTTCTGGCCCAGGCAGTCACAAGGATGACGCCCAGGGATTAGAACTGCAAGTCTGTCCTGTCCCTCCTTTGTGTACAAACTGACAAACTTTGTCTTCTTCTTCAAAGAGTTGTTCTCCTGTGCCTAATTGCACAAAAACATAATATTACAAAATAATGAATGACAATGCAAATTAATGACAACAGAGGAAAAAAACCCTGAAGTTCTGCTCCATAGCATCCCAAAGAATGATAAAGAAGAAAAGGGGTGGGAGAAATAGAGATCAGTTATGATCACGATCTGAGACAGTTATGCTCAAGAAAAATTAATAATTACCATGTTTCTTTTGCTAGTAGCTTTGACCCTCTGGTATATCTAGTATAAAGTGAACTTATCAGTTGTCTATATGACAGCTGATAAATTTGGAGATGAGGGCTCTGAGCCATATCTGGCAGTGCATAGGCTACCCCAGTTCTCTGCTCCCGATAGTGCTGGGTGATCATTATTGAACTGAAGTTGAAATCTAGTTGCAAGGCAACTCGACCCCTGCATTATCTCTGCAGCCCAATCGCATGCGCATGCGCATGTGTCTGTGTGTGTTTGTGTGAGAGAGAGACACAGAGAGAGAGAGAGAGAGAGAGAGAGAGAGAGAGAGAGATCATTCCAGGTGGTGCTGAGAGGCTATGTGTGTTCTCCAGGCACCTCTAGCTACAGTCCTGATTGACCCCAGCACCACAGGCTGTAGTTCTAGTGGCCCGGATGGCCACCAAGGACACAGTGACAGAAGTGAACAACAAGCCTCAGGCCAAACATGACTGGAAAGAACCCCAGTCACACATGCTGCAACACTACCAGGCAGAGACTCTAGAGAAATTCAAAACATCTGGGGTCAGAGATATAGTACAGGGCTCAAGGCATTGGCTTGACCCTGGTTTGAATCCCCACATTGCTCATGTTCCCTCAAATATCACCAGTAGTGATCCCTAAGCACAGAGCCAAGAGGAAACTCTGAGCAGAACTGAGCATAGCCCCGAAAATATAAAAGCAAAATAAAATTTTAATATAAATGACATTGTAAGATTGGAGCATAAGTACAATAGGTAGGGAACTTGTCTTGCATGTTGTTGAATCACATTCAATCCCCAGTATCCCACAGGGTCACCCAAGCCCTCCGAGAAATGATCTCTGAGAGAACAAAAGGGAATGCCCTGCCACAGAGGCAAGGTGGGATGGGGGGATAGGGGGTGGGAGGGATACTGGGACCCATGGTGGTGGAAAATGGGCACTGGTGGAGGGATGGGTACTTGACCATTGTATAACTGAAACCCAAGCACAAAAATTTGTAAGTCTACAACTGTACCTCATGGTGTTTCACTAATAAAAATTTAAAAATAAAAAAATAAATAAAATTATAAAAATAGGGGCTGGAGAGATGGCACAGCGGGTAGGGTGTTTGCCTTGCACGTGGCTGACCTGGGCTCGATTCCCAGCATCCCATATGGTCCCCTGAGCACCACCAGGAATAACTCCTGAGTGCAGAGCCAGGAGTAACCCCTGTGCATTGCCAGGTGTGACCCAAAAAGCAAAATAAAATAAAATAAAATAAATAAAAATAAATTTAAAAAAAGAGAACGATCTCTGAGAACAGAGCCAGGAGAAAGCCCTAAGCACAGTCAGGTGTGACCCCCAAAACAAAAAATAAATATGTAAAAAATGATAGAGAACTCTCTTTGGGATGTACATGTGTGGTCTGGGCCATACCGCATGGCACGTGTGTGTGAGAGAGAGAGAGAGAGAGAGAGAGAAAGAGAGAGAGAGAGAGAGAGAGAATATGATCATTCCAGATTCCAGGTGGTACTGGGAGGCTATGCTGTGCCAGAGGTTGAATCCTGCCATGGAAGTATAGCTCTATTCCATGAGGTTGTTTTTTCCTTTTGTATTTGAGTATTTTTGATTATAATAAACCAGAGTAAGAAGTCAAAAGTACATGACAGTTCCATGGTTTTTGTTGTTGTTTTGTTTTTGAACCTTGGGGAAGTTTCTATTTATTCACTTAAAGATGGATTTCCAGAGGGCATTGAGTAGTTTTCTGAAAAGGAGGTGGTAGGTCAAATAAATCTGCAATTTTTTTTGGGTTTCTGTTTGGGGTCACACCTGGCAGTGCTCAGGGGACTTGTGCTATGTGCACAAGGTTCACTCCCAGAAGGGCTCAGGGGACCATACGTGCGACAGGTGACAGAACCAGGGTGAGTCATGTGCAAGGTAAGCACCTTAACTGTTGTGTTATCTTTCCAGCCCCAAGTCTGACAATCTTTGGCATAGATAGTACTATTATTTTTCATTTTCTTTTCACTAAAATAATGCATTTGTTGAATACTTGCCATATTAGAACGATTTGTATACTTTGCTTTCTAAAAGGTATTAATTCCTTGGGGCCGGAGTGATAGTACAGTGTGTAGGCTGACCTGAGATCGATCCCCGGCATCCTATATAGTCTAGAAGCCTTACCAAGGGTGATCCCTGAGCACCGAGCCTGGAGTAAGTTCTAAGCATCATTGGGTGTGATCCCAAAACAAACAAAAAGCAAAAAACATATTTCTCTTTTTCAGAGTTAGAGAAAAGCTCCATTTTCTAAGTGCTCACCTTGGCCAAATCAAAAGGGGTTTTGACTTCGACGGCTGCATCAGGTTCAGCAAATGCAGGGAATTCCTGTCGGTTTCTCCCTTTCCTCCGACTCCTCTTTAGTTGGTCTCCTGACTTCTGTCCATCTGAAATGTCTTTATAGACAGGGAAAAAGAAAATTAAACATTTATGTACATATCGGGGTAGATGCATTATAGTAGCATTCATTAAACTGGTTAGTTAACACAGGAAATTCGATGTTTCCTACTTAAATATAGAATTAGGCAGGTGTTTTCTAGAGTGCGGTGGTCAGACCCAGCCTGGAGCCTGGAGTTATTCCCAGCAGTACTAGAGGACCAGGTGGAACCACACGTGCTAAGTTTGTGCTTGGGTATTTCAGCTACCCCCCAGCCCACATCTGTTTTGGGGCCCACCCAGCAGTGCTCAGGGTTACTGCCACCTCAGTCTTAAGAGGTCATTCCTGGCTGCATATGAGTAACCAAGTGGTGTCAAGGATGGGTCACTGTCTCCTGAATGTAAAGAACACACTCTTGTCCACTGAGCACTCCGAGTCCTAGTCCAAACTTTTTAATTATCTCTCCTCTCAAATCAGAATCTGCAACCGTTTTTTCAAAATAATAATCAACAATGAAAAGTACGGGTAGGGAAGGAAATTAAATTTTGATCTTTAGGTTACTAAAATATAATCTGGCAGGACCAGAGAGAGATAGTCCGGTGGCACGGCCGGGGTGGGGGGGAGGGGAACTGGGGAGGACCAGGAGTAATCTATGAGCACTACCAAGTGTGGTGCAAAAACAAAAAAAATGGGTGGGTCTGGAGACAGCACAGGAGTTAGGAACCTGCCCTGCATGGAGCCAACCAGAGTTCAATTCCCAAAGACCACAAATGGTCCCCTGAGCTCACCAGGAGTGATCCCTGAGTGCAGAGCCAGGAGTAAGCCCTGAGCATATCTGGTGTGATCTTAATCCCCCATAAAAAATAATGAGGCTAAGAGAAAATGCGTAAAGGTACATGGCGTGCATGCAAGCACTCAATCCTATTTGATCCCCAGCCCCACAGGGTCCAGGTGCTCTGCTGGGAGCCCAGGAGGCACTTGAGCACCCACGGATAACCCTTGGCACCACAAGGCGAAAGATGCCAACTACCCTACAAATAAATAAATAAGTGGTTAACTACAGGGCCAGGGAGATGGCTCAAGAGCTAGAGATTCTTTGCTCCAGAAAACACCCAACTGTGCAGGATATGGCTCCAAAACATCAAACAAAAGGCATCAAACATCAAAGGTTTTGGTTTGGCTCTTCATCTTTTGCATCACATAAAAATTACTTCTATGGGGGCTAGAGCGATAGCACTGCAGGTAGGGCGTTTGCCTTGCACACAGCCAACCCAGGTTCGGTTCCCAGCATCCCATATAGTTCCCTGAGCACTGCCAGGAGTAATTCCTGAGTGCAGAGTCAGGAGTAACCCCTGTGCATCACCAGGTGTGACCCAAAAAGAAAAAAAAAATTACATCTAGGGAGTCAGAGAGCAAACACGGGGTCAAGGTGCTGCCCTGACTGGCACTGCATATGATCCTCCTGGGCACCTCCAGTAGTGATCCCTGAGCACTCCAGGTGAGACCAAAAAGAATACACACACACGTACATATACACGGAGGATTTTGCTTAATTATGATAGCTGTGTGAAAACTACAAGGTGACAGAAAGTACCAGGTGAGGACTAAAGAGAGAGTACAGTGGGGAGTATGCTTGCTTTCCACACACCCAACCCTGGTTCAATCCACAGCATCCCATATGGTGGTCCCCTCTAAATGCAGAATCAGGAGTAAGCTCTAGCACACCCAGGTGTGGTCCCAAAACAAACACTAACAAAATGCCAGTTTTACTTGATTAGATTCATCAATGAACTTACCATCCTTTTTTAAGGACTGCTGCGGATTATCAGAAATCAACTCCTGATCGTCCTTTTGCCATTTGGTTATAAGCTCTTCTATGAATTGGCCTTTCTTGCCCTCATTTCCCTGAAGGAGATCAGTGACATATTCTCGTATTTCTTCAGGACTCTCAATAGACAAAACATACCTCAGGAAACAAAAACAAAAATATTGAGAGACAGTATTGCGGGTGGGGCATCTGCTTTCCACACAGGTGACCCAGGGTTCGATCCCGGGCATCTCATTTGGTCGAAGCTCTTCTCAGAGTAATTCCTGAGTGCAGAGACAGGAGCTACCCCTGAGCTCCCCTGGGTGTGGCTCAAAAACAACAACAAAAAAGTGTTGAAAGAAGGTGTTTCAAGTTCTTGGGGGAAATAAAAACTGCTTACAATATGCTTTTCAATAACTCCAAGGTAGTAAAACCCATGAAAGGGCCAGGGGAACAGCTGGATGACAAGAGCACCTGCCTGACAGGATGGTGACTACAGAAGACAATAAACCCCAACAAGGCATCTCAGAGCGGAGTACCACCTGCAGCTCCACTGTCTGGAATCCCCAGGACTACACCAGAGTGTGTTTGTTGCTGTATCATAACCAAGTTACACAAACACCACAACCACACTCTGGAAAGGGGAATAATTAAAAGTAAAAACATCTGTTAGTGGGGGCCAGAGAGATGGTACTATAAGACCTCGCACCCGGCAACCCTGATTTGATCCCCATCACCACCTGTGGTCCTCCTGCGCCCTGCCAGATTTCTGAGTGCAGAGTCAGGAGTAAGCCCTGAGCAGGTGTGGCCCCCAAACAAACCAAAAAGCAAAAAAAAAAAAAGGTTAATACTCTCAGGTTCTTTGATCAAGTCCCAAGCTTGTTAGGTTACTAAGGGCTCTTCACTCTGTGCTCCCCCACACACGAAGCCAAGCGCTCTCATCAAGACATGGACCTCCAATACTCTCAATTGTTTGTTTTTGTTTTGTTTTTGCTCTAGCTGAAAGAGGCTGGCGCAATCGTAATGCGGGTAGAGCGCTTGCCTTGCACGTGGCCACACAAGGTTCCATTCCCGGCATCCCAATGGTCCCCTGAGCCCACCAGGAGTAAGATCCCTAAGCACAGAACCAGGAGTAAGCCCTCAGCTTAGCCGGCTGTGGCCCCCAAGCAAACAAAATAGCCTTGCAGTCTTGCAACAATTTGTTGAACAAATTAACTGTAGGCAGATGTTAAATCATCTCACCATCACCGTTTTGCAACAATAAATATCAAAGTTTATAAAAGAGGGGCTGGAGCAATAGCACAGAGGGTAGGATGTTTGCCTTGCATGCGGCCGACCCGGGTTCGATTCCCAGCATCCCATATGGTCCCTTGAGCACCGCCAGGGGTAATTCCTGAGTGCAGAGCCAGGAGTAACCCCTGTGCATTGCCGTGTATGACACCAAAAGCAAAAAAATTAAAAAAAAAATAAAAAATTTAAAAAACAAAGTTTATAAAAGAAAACTTAATTACTGAATTTTATAGATGAGCAACCTAAGGTACAGAGAGTAAAAAATGTAGTTGTCAAAGGGTCCAAAGGTGGTTTAAAAAAAAAAAAGGGACCGGATTCTGGGGCCAGAAGCTCTTTGCACATACCCCCCCCCCCAACCTCTTAAATTTCGGGTCTTTCCCCACCACAACCTTGAACCGGCAAACGGAAACGCTCCGCGTGAAATAAATTGAAGACCACTCCGTTAACCCCTCCTTTCCATGTAAGGAGAGTGACGCCGGGACAATGTTACAGGTCTGATGGTCAAGAATTTCATGGTTGGGGCTGGAACGACAGCACAGCGGGTAGAGCGTATGCCCTGCACACAGCCGACCAGGGTTCGATTCCCATCATCCCATATGGTCCCCCGAGCACCGCCAGGAGTAATTCCTGAGTGCATGAGCCAGGAGTAACCCCTGTGCGTCGCCCGGTGTGACCCAAAAAGCAAATTTAAAAAATAATAATAATTTCATGGTTATCCTCTGCGAAAGTGCCCCACCCGCCGAACCGGGGCCCTGACACCCGATTCCTGAAGCGAAAGTAGACAGCAGCCCTCCTGTCACGGCTCTCGACTCGGACCAACTTTTTTCATCCTTCTCGCTTCCCGGTCTGCTCAAGCCCCGCACATCCCAGAGGTCCTTCCCGCCCAGCCCCCACACGCTTCTCACTGCACGATTTCCTCGCTGACGTCCAGCCCGAAAGTTCTCCGTAACTGTTCAGTGCACCAGCTCGCCAGCTGCTGCTCCCTGGACGACGCCCCAGCCGCCGCCATCTTCACACGCCGGAACCAGCTGAGGCCGCAGACGCCCGGCGTGCGCGCAGGCCCCGCCCCTCCGCGACGCCGGCCGCGCGCGCGGCTTCCGCCCGCCGCGCCCCGCCCCCTTCCCGCCGAGCTCCGCCCCCGCCCGCCGCGCCCCGCCCCCGCAGCCGCCTCCTCCGCGCTTCCCCGCTTCCGCGTCCCTTCACGCGGGCTCTAGGATCCTCATTCGCGCCTTCTTCTTCCCTCCCGTCCGCGTGGAATTGGAGGATTGGAGATTCGACGAAAGAGACAGTACAAATGAGGAAAATGTAAAACCTTACCCCGTGATCTGAGGGCCCGATTTTTAAATTGTTCTCTTATTCGTTGTCAAATAGTGACTATGGGAGCTCGACGGAGCACCTTAGTAAGAATCCGCGCTGGTCCGGGTGGTTTTGTTCATTTCTGTAGCCCTAGGTTCACGATGCTGGACCTTTTAAATTTGATTTCTTTTGGGGTGGCGGAGGGAGGTTAGGCCACACCTGGTAGTGCTGAGAGTAGGGATTATTACTTCACCCTCCGTTCCAGAGTGACTCCCTGTGGTCCTTAGGGTGCTGGAAGTTCGTGCATGCCCCGACTTTAAAGCATCTCTCCAGGGGCTGGAGCAATAGCACAGCGGGTAGGGCGTTTGCCTTGCCACGCGGGCAACCCGGGTTTGAGTCCCAGCATCCCATATGGTCCCCTGAGCACCGCCAGGGGTAATTTCTGAGTGCAGAGCCAGGATTAACCCCCTGAGCGCCGTCGGGTGTGACCCAAAAAACCAAAAAAAAAAAAAAAACTAAAGCATTTCTCCAGCCCTGATTGAATGTTTGTGAGCCAGGTCTTTTCCACGACCACTAGGGTCAAGATAGCAAACTGGGGGAGAGGTGACGGAGGGCAGAGAGGACTGACATGACACCTGTATGTAATAAGGAGATGATGCTTGCCTTGCCTAGTTTTAGCTTGTGAGCAGCTTGTAGCATCAGAAGTGAACGTGGCTCCTTTGGACCTTAGACCACATCCAGCCACGCTCTGCGTGAGTGAACTCTTTCTATACTAAAAAGTTCACTTATATCACTATAAATCCGACCTTGTATGTATGTGGTGCAGGAGAGTGCCCTGGTTAGCAGACCCTTGTATTTTTCACATTGTTTTTAATTAAGAGCCATGGAGGGCTACTAGGGCCTCTCCTGGCTGGGTTGGAGAGAAGCAGGAGAGAAGCAGGGCCCAGATGCAGTGCTGATGGTGCTGACAGCCTGGGTATGGAACTCAGAACCTGGAACTGTTTCCATGACCCCCACGTAGTGATGGGGGGTGGGGGTAAGCTTTTTGGACAACACTGGGGCACTCTCAAGAGCTACTCCTGTCTGTTTGCTCAGGAGTGACCCCTGGCTCTGAAGCGAAGTGCAGTGAGTAAAGGCATCTTATTCCTATATTATCTTTCTGGACACCACCATGCCCACCACCATCCACTGGCCGTTCTTGTTTGTTTTCGGGCCACAACCCATCGATGCTCAGGGCTCACTCCTGCCTCTGTGCTCAGTAATTGGTACTGGTAGTGCTCTGGGGACCATATGGGATGCCAGAAATCGAACCCAGGTCAGCCGCATGCAAGGCAAGAGTCCTATCCACCTTACTGTCTCTCTCGCCTCCCACCAAGGATCCCTCTCTTTTTGGGGAAGGCGGGGTTTGCTCAGTGGTAGATCGGCTGTATGAGGGGGAGCGTTACATCCAGGCAACTCCCCGCAGTACCTGCAAATGAATTCCGGCTGTGCTGGTGATATCATTCACACCATAACTCAGTGTCAAGTGCCCCCCAGCACACCACATGCTAAATATAACATTCAAATTGCCTCGTTCTGTATTGAGTTGTCCCGTGACTAAGATGTGAATTCTTTAAGATGGTGAATATTACTTAATTCTCTTGTGCAATAAGAGTTGGAAGATATAATAACGCGTTCCTCAAAAGCATTGTTTATAAGACTAGTGAACATAATCTCAAGTTCGTAAAGTACATAATATAATGCCATTTGCTACCATTATCACTTATTAAAAGAATTTTTTTTTGCCTCAGGAAATCTGCTTACCTATTTAACATAGCCTAAAATTATTTTTTTTAGTATTTTTTTAACATTATAGGCAGAAAAATTAATTGGCGGCTCTGTGCTCAGGAGTGAGCTCTGGTGGGGCGAAAGGGACCATATGTGGAACCTGAATTCAAACCAGTGCCACCAACACCACAGCTGCATGCAAGGGAAATGCCTCACCTCATGTGCTCTCTTTCTCTGGCCAGTAGGCATAAAGTTTTTGTTTGCTTGTTGGCCACAGCCAGCAGTGCTCAGAGCTTACTCCTGGCTCTGTGCTCAGAACTCATTCCTGATAGGCTTGAAGGAACATACAGGGTTGGGGTTCTGGGGATTGAACTCCCGTCAGCCGCGTACAAGGCAAGCTCCATACCTGCAGTACTATCACTCTAGCCCCAAGACATTTTAATCGCTCATAAGACAAGTTTTCTTTCTTCCTCCTTCTCTCCATTTTCTCCCTCTTCTTTTATAGCTCTAGGGATCTCAGACAATATGACACTGGCTAGCATGACTCAGAGAAGCAAGCATGGCACTGACTGTGCACAGGCACAGGGATTTGAACTCATGACTGCAGCATTGCAAAGCAAGCACTTTCCTCCTGGGGGACAGACACTTATCCTTTTTGTTTTTCAAAGGGAGAGATTCCCAACAGCTGGGGGCGGGGGACGTATAATTTATTTATTTACTGGGGCTGGAGCGATAGCAAAGCAGGTAGGGTGTTTGCCTTGCATGTGGCCGACCCTGGTTCGATTCCTCTGCCCCTCTCAGAGAGCCCAGCAAGCTACCGAGAGTATCCCGCCCGCACGGCAAAGCCTGGCAGGCTCCCCGTGGCATAGTCAATATGCCAAAAACAATAACAACAAGTCTCACAATAGAGACATTACGGGTGCCCGCTCAAGCAAATTGATGAACAAAAGGAGGACAGTGCTATTTATTTATTTATTTTGTGGTGTAGTGGCACACCTAGTAGTGCTCAAGGCTTACTCCTGGCTCTGTAGTACTCAGGGATCACTTCTGGTTGGGGCTCAGAGGACCATATGGGATGCTGCAGATTCAATCCTGGTTAGCCAAGTGCAAGACGAGTGCTCTCCCCACTGTGCTATTGCTCAGGCCCATCATTGGGGGTGTTCTTGGGAAATTTAGCTCAAGGCTGCCGGGATTGTTCTGCCTCGCCTGGGCGTCCCCAGGGCTAGCCCCTTTGATGACAAAGATCAAACTTGAGGCCTCCCACATGCTAGATATGTGCTCCACCTCTTTGAGCTATCACCCCAGCAAGAATTTTTTTTTCAATTGCCTAGGCTTCAAAAAATTCAGGTTGATGATACACAGTTGTTATTTTTTCCCCTTTTTTAACTGTGAAGGAGAATTTCTGCAAACCACTTAAATTCAAAATTTTTACTAGGCATCACAGATTTTTCCCTATTTTTTCCCTTTAACTGTTTTTGGGGGGGTGTAGAGGGGGCACACTTGACAATGCTCAGGGGTTACACCTGGCTCTGTACTTCTTTTCCTTTTTTTTTTCTTTTGGGCCACACCCAGCTATGCTCCTTACTCCTGGCTCTGCACTCAGGAATGACTCCTGGCGGTACTTGGGGTCCATACAGGATGCCGGGGATTGATTGAACACAAGGTCATGTACATGCAAGGCAAATGCCCTACCCGCTGTGCTATCGCTCTGGTCCCCTGGCAATCCTGACAAGCTCAGGGGAACATGTGATGCCAAGAATCAAACACAGGTCAGCCACATGCAAGGCAAGCGCCCTACCCACTATACTATCTCTCTGGCCCCTCTAACTGCATCTTTCATTATTATATATCATAATTATCATTAAAAAGATAATCATGAAAGGCTGGAATGATAGCACAGCCAGTAAACTCTTTCCTTATATGCAGCTGATCTGAGTTCTATGTCTGCCACCTCATAGTCACCACCAAGAATGATCCCTGAGCACATCTCTGAGCACAGACAGACCCAGGAGTAAGCCCTGAGCACTGCCAGATGTGACCCGGAAGGAAAAAAAAATGTAGGGGCTAGGGAGATAGCTCAAAGGGCTAGTGTGCATGGCTTTATATGTCAGAGGTGCTCCTTTAATCCCAAATACCACACTTCCAGGAGTGAATACCACAGCTGAGAGTATTTGCTGAGTACCACCTGCTTTTAGTTTTGGGGCTCCAGAACTAACAGTAAATAAATTTCCACTCCCTCATGGAATACCCACTACCATACTGTGGGAGGCTGCCTGCCCTTTTCCTTTTTTTCCTCTGTCTTTACTCATCTCTTAAAAATTTCACCTGAAAAATAAAAAGATTAACATGGGCAACCAGCAGTAGTACAGTGGGCACTTGCTCTACATGCTGCTGACCTAGATTTGATCCCTGGCACTCCATATGGTCTCTAGAGTCCTGCCAGGAGTGATCCCTGAATACAGAGACAGCCCTGAGCACCCTCCCAAATAAAAACAAACAAACATGGGGCCTGGATATAGCTCAGTACTTCCATGTGAGGAGGCATGAGTTCAAATTCTAGTACCAAAGACCAAAAAACCCCAAATAGTTATTATACTTAAGCTCCCCCCCCCCATTCATAGGTATTTGTACATCAGTCAATTTCAGCAGGTATTTGTGATGTGGACAAGGAGAAAAGCCCAGCAGATACTTTGTAGGTCTAGTATCTACAACAATCTGGGACATAAAAGTATTTAGACTTTTGTATAAACTACTTCTTTTTTTTGGCACCATGATTGCACTGGTGTTGTTTCAGTGATAAAGCAATGCTGTTAATATCCTTGGGGTACCAGGATACTACCTCCACTGTCTCTCGATTCCCACTTCATTCCCTCCCCATGCACCACCTCACCTTGGCAAGCTATATATATATATACACATACACAAATATATATACATATATGTGTATATATATATATAGTTTAATTGAAATATCGTGCTTTACAAAGTCATTCATGATTTGCAAACTCAATTCCATATTGCACACTCAATTATACATGTAGATAATGTAGATTCTCAGGGCCTGTTGTAGTTGTTGAGAATTTGATTCTTTATACTCCACATATCACTGTCACTGTCACTGTCCTCCCATTGTTCATTGATTTGCTCAAGCGGGCCCAAGTAACATTGTGAGACTTGTTACTGTGTTTGGCATATTGAATATGTCATGGGTAGCTTGCCAGGCTTTGCCGTGTGGGCAAGATACTCTTGGTAACTTGCCGGGCTCTCTAAGCGGGGCTGAGGAATCGAACTCGGGTCGGCCATGTTGGCTGCGTGCAAGGCAAACTCCCTACCCGCTGTGCGATCAGTTCAGCCCAATCCACATATCAGAGAGATCATTTAGATTAGTCCTCCCTTACTTCACTCAGCACAATCCCCTTCAATTGAATCCAAGTTGTAGCAACCAGCAAGATAAATTATTTAAATTTTGTTTTTTATAAAGTTGTTCACAATAATTTATTAACTTCAATATTCCAACGCCAATCCCACCACCATATTTCAAATTTTTTCACACAGACCTCCAAAATCTGCCCCCAAGCAGGACCTAAATAATTTATTTTGTGTTGTTTTTGTTATGAATAATTTTCTAAAAATAGTCCAAAAAATTTTCCTTAGTGGAAAGTGAGTGACGATTGTTGTGTCTCACCCAGGAGCCATTAAGCCCTTGTGTAAGAGATTACTAACATGTTGTTAAAGGTTGAACCTTATGTGCTAATATGTATATATATGATATTCTTTTCATCCCGATTGGTTGCCTTCTACTTTACACTCCATTCAATGTGGTGTGCTACTCTTGGTACTCAGTGGCATAGAGAGTCATGGCCACACATTCCAGGAATTACAAATTTTAAATAGGGTAATACAACTGGAGTTAATTTTTTAACTGGATGGTGACTTTGAGTTCCGGGAGCATCCCTGCAGCACATTGCTCTCTTCTGAGATTTATTTGTGAGTCTCTGGATCATGGCTGTTACATATATGATACCAGAGGCAGTTTGTGGGAATGATTTCCAGGCTCCTGGAAGAATAGGGAGATGGGGGAAGGCTGCCCATTCCCAACTCCATGCAAGCCTGGAAATTTCAGTCACAAATCTCCGTACCCGAGTTTTTCAGCAGATCCACTCATGGATGAGGCTCGTCCAACCCTGTAGAAATTGGCCATGAGCATGGTGGCGGTTGAATTCTGGGTTTTTTTTTAAGCTGCCAGGGCTCTGTTGGGGTGGATGGAGAGACTCACCTGCTCCCCTCTGGGTTTCCCTGCATGAGACAACCTGGCATAGGTTTCGGTGGCATCTCTGCAGCATGTTGCCCTCTTCTGAGATTTGTGAGGCTGGCAAGATAAATTTTAAGCTTAAGTTTTGTTTTGTTTTGTTGTTTTTCAGGCCGAACCCAGTAGTGCATAGAGAGTCGTAGCTGCACAGAGCTTCCTTATGGTTCTGTGCTCAGGGATCATTCTTGGTGGGGTATAGGGGACCATATGTAGGGCTGGGAATTGAACTCAGATCTGCTCTGTAGAAGGCAAGTGCCTCACTGTACTAGCTCTGTAGCCTCCTATGCTTAAGTTTTATTTATTTTATTTTTTAGTGGGTTGGGGGTGGGGGACACCCAGAAGTGTTTAGTGCTTACACTTGACTCTACACTCAGGAATCACTCTTGGAATGACTCGAGGAGCCTGATGAGGTGATGAAGATCAAACCCAGTGCCATGTGCCTGACCCACTGCCCTGTCATTCTTGCCCAAGTTTTATGTTTTTTTTAAAATTTTTTTGAGGGGTAGCTATAACCAGTGTTTCTCTGGACTACCCCCTACTCAGTGCTCAGGGCACCACTTGGTGCCTGTGATGAAATCTAGGACTCCTGTATATAAAGTATGTCCTCCTGTGCCTCGGCTCCTGTTTCAGCTAGCTCGTCTGACCCAAGAGCTATTTTTGGCTCTATGTTTTGGGGGTTACTCCCAGCAGTGCTCAGGAGCCCATGTAGTGCTGGGGATCAAATCAGAGCCCGCTAGAATCACAGCATGTGTGCTTGGCACTTTGAGCTATTGTCGAACTATTGGTTCAATGATCCCTGAGCACAGAACCTCTGTCAATAGGAATCACTTTTTTAACTTAAAAAAATACGTGCCTTGAAGAAACAATATACCTTGGGGCCAGAGTGATAGTACAACTGTAGAGGGGGGAGGGCCTTTGCCTTGCCCGTGGTGGACCTGGATTCCATCTCTGGCATCCCATATAGTCCCTAAGCATGGCAAGAGTAATTCCTCAGTGCAAAGCGAGGAGGAACCCCTGAGCATCGCTGGGTGTGGTCCCCCCAAAAAAAGAAAAGGAAACAATGTACCTTAAGGACAAAGAAAGATGGGGGAGGGGTTCTAGTAGGAACTGTCTGTAAATTTAAGAATACAGGATATAAACAAAGAAAAAACAAAACCCAGAAAAACCACAGGTAATTTTTAATGTATTTCCTATTATGCTAATCAAATTTGTTATCTAGACTTTATAAAACATTAGTAGAAACCTGATAATACAATGGATAAGGGCCTTGCTTGGTTTGGTCCCCAGCTGAATCCCAGCTGAATGATCCTTGAATCCAGAACCAAGGAGTAAGCCCTGAGGATAGCTTGGTTGTGGACCCCCAAACCAAACTGAAAACAAAACAGGGCTGGAGCCATAGTACAGTGGGTAGGGCATTTACCTTGTACAAGGATGATCCCCGGCATCCCATATGGTCCACCATACACCACCAGAAGTTACTCCTAAGAGTCCCAGGTGTGATCCAAAAAGTCAAAACAAATAAACAAACCAAAAAACACCATACCAAACTGAAATGAAATAAAGTGGTTCTCTCTCTCTCCCTCCCCCTCCACACACACACACACACACACACACACACACACACACACACACACAGACAATGATGATTTGGGTTGATTCTTAAAGGTACTGAGGTTTTTTGGTTTTGGGTTTTTTGAGCCATACATGACATGGCTGTGCTCAGGGATCATTCCTAACTGGAAGACTTGAGGGACCATATGGGATGCTGGACATATAACCAGGTCAGCTGCATGCTAGACAAGCGTCCTGCCCACTGTGTCATTTTGCTGTCCCATCTCCCACACTCTGATTATATTTTGTGTGTGGCTTCTTGAGTGAATAATCTCTCCCTGATATATGGAGAAATTAGAAAATAGAAGGATGGAACTTCTGGTCTAGAGTTATGGTTGCCGTATGCCAGGGTAATACCACAATATATTTAGCAGATTTAAATTCTATTCATTTTTTAATTTTATGGTCCCAGGAATGGGTCTCTATAGATCTCAGGATGCTATTTTATGAGCTTGCTTTTCTTCCCCTACATGTATGCCTGTACATATCTGTGTTTTTATCTTTTTTAATCATTTTTATTTAACACTATCCAAAAACGGGAAAGTACTGATTACTTGTATTAGCTTCCTTATGTAATGACAAATAAGAAATTGCAAATAAGAAACTATGTAATGAGGGGCTGGAGAAATAGCACAGTGGGTAGGGTAGAGCATTTGCCTTGTGCGTGGCCAACCCGGGTTCGATTCCCAGCATCCCATATGGTCCCCTGAGCACCGCCAGGAGTAACTCCTGAGTGCAGAGCCAGAAGTAACCCCTGTGCATTGTCAGGTGTGACCCAAAAAGCAAAAAAAAAAAAAAAAAAAAAAAAAAGAAACAACGTAATGAGAATTATGAAACTGTAATGAGAACTGAGACACTGAAACCAACCCCAAGGTCAGCCAGAGAAGGGAGGAAGAGTTTTTTTTTTGCTCTGTATGACCCTGATCAGGTAGGATAAGGGCCCGCCAGATGAACAGTAGAGTACAAGCAACCCCTGCCAGATTTAGGGGAATGCATGGGAGATGACACATGAAGGTCACACCAAAAGGGAAGGAGATACTGACACAGACGTTCCTTTTTTGTTTTTGGGGGCACTTCATTTTTTTCCTTTTTGTAGATTATAGCTCACTCTTAGAGAATGAAAAAAAGAGATCCCCCTCAGCAGACCGGGCCCCAAGTCTCTTTCTCATTCAACTTGGGGTCCTCAGGTTGGAGCTTCTAATAAGCCCACTCTTATCCTGAGCTGTCTCTCTGTTTGTTGTCGGCTCGCCAGCACACTTACATCTGCATTGAAATGCTTTAATATGGGTCCTGCAGAGTTCATGCCCGAGGCATTCATAGGGAATCTGTTTAGTCTCAGCCCAGGTTTTATTTGCAGATTTTACCGCAGGGGTCCAGCCAGGGTCTAATAGCCAAGAATCAGTCAGAAGGACCATGGGGACTCGCAGTTGGTCCTGGGTTTCTATTTCAACTCTGGCCGGTTTCATTTCCGCGTTAGGGATGCAGCCTCCCGGGGTTGCGGGGCTCCCCGGTGGCGCCCCCGCCCCGCCCACCGTGGGCTGGGGACGAATCACAAGCGCCCGTGGGTTGATGGACAGGTCCAGTGGCTCCACGGCCCCCTCCCCACGGACTCCAGCAATTGGCTGCTTGCTGCGCAGAAGTGGCTCTGGAGCGCGGGAAACGGCCCCATATAAGCTGTGGCGGGAGCACAGCCCTTGTCTGGGCCTTGTCTGCGAACTGTCCGCCGGTGTCTGCTTGTCCTCTCTCCCGGCCTTGGACCATGGTGCGCACTAAAGCCGACAGCGTCCCCGGCTCCTACAGGAAAGGTGAGTGGGCTAGAATCCCCGCGGCCAGCGCACCCGGGCGGGAGAGCCGGCTGGAGTCCCTGTGGCCCGTGCCCAGGCCTGGGCAAGGAGGAAGGAGCGGTGCGTCGGGGCAGGAGGCTTCCTCCAGGCTGGCCAGGATGCTGGTGGGCTCTGCCCTCCGGAACGACCTCCGTGCCTCTCTTTGCAGTGGTGGCGTCGCGGGCTCCCAGGAAGGTGCTTGGTTCGACCTCGGCGGCCACCAACTCCACGTCCTCGCCTTCGTCAAGGAAAGGTAAAGGAGTCCCACAAAGGGTTGCGGTGGCCACGACAGTATACGGTGGGTGGGCCAGTCCCGCACTCTACTCCCCTGCCCCCACGAGATGCGCTTTGCTTGTTTCTTCCTTGTGCTCTGAATGTTCACCAAATGCATCACGGCAACCGCAACCGGGACCGTGGTGAGGCTGGGGTGGAGGTTGAGACGTTAGCACAGGAACCCAGACCAATGTGTAAAGACCTATGGTCAATGGGTATGGGGGGCACTCGTCATACATTTCAAATTTTAAAGATTCATTAACGTTTTTGGATGTTGTTGTTTTTTTCTTGTTAGAAGTGGTGCTCCTTTCCAAGACGAAGAATTAACACCAGCCTAGAGGTTTAGATCAGTGGTAGAATACAGGCTCTGCAGATCTGAGGTTCTAGGTTTCAGCCCTGACACCGAAGAAACAAAAGAATTGGAACTAGGCCAGGAAGTGCCTCAGTGTATACCACTTAACCTTGCTTTGTGAAAAGCCCTGGGCCCAAGTCGCAGAACTACCAAAAATGACAAAAAATGAGGATCGTTGTTGACAGAGTTACTTACTTTTCCTCTTAGTGTAAAACATTTTTTTTTTACTTCTGTATGCCTGCCTGCCTACCTGCCTCCCTCCGTTCCCTCCCTTCCATCCCTTCCATCTTCTCTTTCCTTCTCTCTCCCTCCCTTCCTCCTTTTCTCCCTTCTTTCATGCCTTTCCTTTCTCTCAATTCTATCACAGGTGTGTTTGTGCATGTATGTTTCTAACTTTGCTGTTCCTGGTACTGCACTGGGACAATGGGAGCTAAAACTGGACAAAAGTAATAGTTCCAGCTGCCCTTTCCCTGCTAGGGAAGGTTGAGGAGAGACCAGACCATCTGATGTCTCTTCCTTCCAGCAGGAAGTTAGCAGGCAGCCAGGTTGATCCCCCAGAATCTAGTATGTAGGGGATCAATGTGAAGGACCTTGTGGTTTGGTTTGGTTTGGTTTGGTTTGAACACCAGGCAGTGCCCACTGGCTGCTCCCAGCTCAGTGCTCCGGGGTTGCTTTTGGTGTTGCTCTGGGGTCTGTGTGGTGCTTAGGATCACACCCAGGCTTCCCACATGCAAAACATGTGCTCTAGCTCTTTGACCCATCTACCCTGTCCCACTCATGATTTTTTTTTAATTTTTTATTTTTAATGAGTCACGTGAGGTACAGTTACAGACTTAGAAACTTTCGTGATTATGTTTCAGTCATACATGATTTTTTTTTCCGTAGTGGGGCACACCCAGTGGTGATAAGGGGGTTACTCTTGGTGGTGCTCAGGGGACCATATGGGATGTTTGGGATCGAACCCAGGTTGACTGTGTGCAAGGCAAGCATCCTACCAGCTCTAGTAGCTCTCTAGCCCCTGATTTTTCTTAAATTGTATTAGAAAATTAGTAAATATATTACAAACTATTTACTTTCCTTTTTTTTTTTCTTTTTGGGTCACACTCGGCAATGCACAGGGGTTACTTCTGGCTTTGCACTTAGGAATTGCTTCTGGCGGTGCTCAGGGGACCATATGGGATGCTGGGAATTGAACCCAGGTCGGCTGCGTGCAAGGCGTTACCTGCTGTACTATCACTCCAGCCCTTACTTTCCAGTTTTTGTTGTTTGTCACTCTAGGTAGTGTTCACAGTTACTCCTGGCTGGCTCTGTGCTCATGGATCATTCCTAGAGAGGATTAGGGAACCATATGTGGTGCTGAGAATTGAACTTGGGTCCGCCATGTGCAAGGCAAGTGCCCTATGTGCTGTACTATCTCTCCACCCCTGAGAAATATTTTTAGAAATAAAATTTTTGTTAGGCCTGCAATTGTAACTTAATAGTAGTAACATACTTCCCTTGCATGTTTGAGGCTCTGAGTTTAAACCCCAATATTGCAAAAAAAAAAAAAATCAACGTTCTATCTCTGCTACTTTTCCAGGTTAAAGGATAATTATAACAAAGCACTATTTTGGCAGGAGAGATAGTACAGCAATGAAGTATGCAGTCTGCCAGATTTGACTCTCAGCACCACATGTGGTCCCTCAAGTCCTGCCAAGAGTGATTGCTGAATGCAGAGCCAGTAGTAAATCCTGAACACAGCCATATGTGACTCAAAAATCAAAACGTCACAAAAGAAATCCAAAATATTATTTGATATTACAACAGTATCTGGGCTGGAGCGATAGCACAGTGGTAGGGCGTTTGCCTTGCACGCAGCCGGCCTGGCCGAGCCGAGTTCGATTCCTCTGCCCCTCTCGGAGAGCCTGGCAAGCTACCGAGAGTATCTCGCCCGCATGGCAAAGCCTGGCAAACTACCCGTGACATATTCAATATGTCAAACACAGTAACAACAAATCTCACGATGGAGATGTTATTAGGCCCACTTGAGCAAAATTGATGAACAACGGGAGGACAGTGCTACAGTGCTAAAATAGTATCTGATATATTATTGGTTGATTGGTTTATTGTGGTACATTTCTCATTATTTGGAGGCATTGAATCATACCTGGTGGTGCTCAGGAGTTATTCCTGTATCTTGGTTGAGGCATGACCCCTGGCCAGCTGTGGGATTATTTACTGTGCCAGGAAATCAAACCAGGGTCAGCCACATGTAAGGTAAGAAAGAACCTTCCCTCCTGTGCACTCTGTCCAAACCCTTCTCATCTTTGAAGGTGAACGTAATACTTAAAATCCTTTCTGTTTTTTTTTGCGGGGTTGGGGCCATGCTCATTAGCACTCAGTGGTCACCCATAGCTCATTGCTGTGGGTCTGTCCTACTGATGATTGGCAACAGTGAGTCCCAGGGATGTACCCAGGGCCCTGCGTGCACAGCAGCAGCCCGGACTGTTGAGAGGTCTCCCCAGCCCCTAAGTACCCTTCAGATTTGATGTTAAAGGAGGAAATGCCTCTTGAAGGAATGGATTGTATTTGTCTTACTTCGTTCCATCTGTTCGTAGAAAATAAGTATGCAGGAGGAAACCCTGTTTGTGTGCGCCCAACTCCAAAGTGGCAAAAAGGAATCGGAGAATTCTTCAGACAGTCCCCTAAAGATTTGGAAAAAGAAAACTGGGTTCCCGAAGAGCCAGGAAGCAGTGGCTTAGGAAAAATAAAGAGAAAGTAAGTTATTAAATCTAAGGAAAATATTTATATTCTTGGTGAATAAGATCAAAGACCTTGAGTAACTAATGTTCCTTTTATTATGTATTTGGGGGATGGGGTGAGGGATGCATTCGATGGTGCTTGGAGGCTATTCCTGGCTCTGCATGGGAGAGCATGTTATACTTAGGAGTGAACCCAGGCCTCCTGCATGCAAAGCATACTTAGCCATTCAGCTCTTTCTAACTGAGTGGCTAAAGTTTCTCATTGAGCAAATAAGAAAATAGAAGTTATTTTTTTCTAATTATTGTAAGTCATTCTCAAATTTTAAACAAGAATAAAACGTATTATTTTGGGCTAGACTCAGCTGTGCTTAGGGCTTACTCCCAGCTCTGTGCTCAGGGATCATTCCTGGAGGGGCTCAGGAGGGGCTGGGGATCAAATCCTGGTTGGCCATGTGCAAGATAAGCACTTACCACTGTACTATCTTTCCAGCCTGTAGCATCATTTTAATTTCTGTTTTTTTTTTTTTTCTGTCATACTTTGAAGTTGCTCGCAGCATGCCCGGGGAACTATTCAGTGTCCCAGAGCAATCAGATTGAGAATCTGGGCCTCCCGATGTGCTCTAGTCCACTTTCCACCTCTCTTTCTAGTCTGACGGGTATCAGTTTTTTTCTTTTTGGTGTTTTTTTTCTTTTTTTTTTTTTTGGCCACATCCAGTTGTGCTTGGGGCTTACTCCTGACTCTGTGCTCAGTGATTACTCCTGGTGGGGTAGAGGACACTATGGGGTGCTAAGGATTGAACTCGAGTTGTCCAACGTGTGAGGCAAGTGCCTTACCCATTGTACTACCTCTCTAGAATCACAAAGTAAGTACCTTAATCTACTACACATTAGTTCCTTCACCATCCCAACAACAAAGCTCAGCAATGACATGCGGCCAAAGCCATCTCCTCTTGGTTTGACTTGCCCTTCTGTAGTGCCTACTAATTTTATATCTTTACTGTTTTGTGTGCATCTTATACTGAGGACTTACCCATGTGAGGCATCTTCTCTACCACTGAGCCAAATCTCTGACTATACTTTTATTTTAATTGTTTTTGTTTTGGGGTCACACCCAGTGCAGGGATCACTCCTGGTGATGCTGGGGAGCCAGAAGCATTGCTGGGACTCAAAATGAGGTTATAGTTGCCATAACTACATGCTGGCAAACCTTTTTTGCCCTCTCTCTGGCTCCATCTTTATTTCAAAGAATCAGACCAGGGGCCGGAGCAATAGCACAGCGGGTAGGGCATTTGCCTTGCACGCGGCCGACCCGGGTTCGATTCCCAGCATCCCATATTGTCCTCTGAGCATCACCAGGGGTGATTTCTGAGCGTAGAGCCAGGAGTAACCCCTGTGCACTGCCAGGTGTGACCCAAAAAGCAAAAAAAAAGAAAAGAAAAAAAAGAATCAGACTGTGCCAGAGATATAGTGCAGTGGACTGAGTACTTACTTTGCATGTAGGAGGCACATCCTCCACCAGTATTTATGGGAGTGACCTCTGAGCACAAAGTTGGGAGTAACCCCTAAGCAACATAGTGTGGTACAAATGTCTCCCCCAAAGTAATCAGACCAAATCCACTAATTCATATAAATTCAGGAAGCAAAAGAAAAAAATTAGGTCTTTATCAGACAAACAACTTCCTTTACTAATACAATGTGACAGTCCCCAAATCATACTTGTTTAAAGAGCATGCAAAGTATTTGGCTAGATAACGCATGCCAATGTTAAATCTGCTACATTTTTTTATCAAGACGGAGAGATTAAAAAAAAGCTAATGGTATGATTAAATGTAGTTTAGGAGATTTGCTTAGTACTCTACCTAGAGGGGCCAGAGAGATTGTACAGTAACTTTCTTGACCCTCGTTTAATCCTGACTACTTCATAAGATCCCCTGAGTACTGCCAGGAATGATTACAAAACTTGGAGTACAGAACTGCCAGAGGTGGCCAAAAAATACCACTAAAAACCAAAACTCCATCTTATTTCAAATAGTATAGCAATAGTACAGTGGGTAGGGTGCTTTCCTTGCAAGTGGCTGACCTGGGTTCCAATATTGGCACACCATATGATCCCCCAAGCCCCGGCAGGAGTGATTCCTGAGCACAGAGCCAAGAGTAAGCCCTGAGCACTGCCAGGTTTGAAAACAAATTAAAATTTTAAAAAAACATTGACTATGTTAATATACCTAGTCAGAATGTTTTAGCTTTATCTTCCTTCTTTCACCACTTCATTTACTAGTTTGCTACTTAGTTCTTTGAGTTTTCAGTCTAATCATATAGTGTGAGTTCAAGATGTGGGCGATGACATGTGCCAAGAACCACCTCCCTAGGCCTCCCCAGCAGAGGAACAAAGAGACAGGGGACCACATATTTATAGAACATCTGAGGGGGTTTGAAGTATAGGAGTGCACGTACGTGTGTGTGATGGATCATTTACAGAGGTAAAGCATTTTGATGGAGGCAGTTCTCTTTGGGGGATAAACTCAAGGAGATACTTTGTCTCCCAGGAATATCTATATTGCTTTTCTCTTTCCCTAGCTATTAGTAAATATTAAACAATTAAGTTTACTTCTTATTAATACTTGTAGTTATTTGGATAAGCACAATAAGATTAAAAACTTAATTCTTTGGCCTCTAAGGGCAAGCAGGCTTTTACCGTAATTCCAGACTAAGTCCTCAGGTCAATCCATCTTGTCCTTACTCATGCGGGTCCTGTCTCTTAAGTCATAACAGCTTGCATCAAGACCATGCGTTTATGCTTTCAATACTGGAGTAGCTTCACCACTCGTCCTGGGTGCACAGTGGGACCTCCCTTAGTGGGGTGTTAGGAACTACAGCAACTGAAGCCAGAGTCAAGTAATTATGACGGATACCCAGGAGTAGATATATTTCAGAGTTAATCAACTCCCAAATATTAGGAACATAGCATTAACGGTCTTTCTGTGTTTAAGCAAAGAACAATGCTCTATAGAAAACTATGAAAAGGCTATAGGGGAAATAGAAAAGCAAGTAATTTACTTCGAATACAAAGTCCAGAATCACCAGAAGTTTTGACTTACAAGTAGTCAAAGACTGACTTGGGTAAACTGTGGCAATGAGAGGTAAAACACAAAGGAAAGGTTAAAGATAAGCTTGAGGGATTGGGGTGCTCATAAGAGCACTGTAAGTTTCTATGTGAGGAGGAAAGGAGGCAATTCACTGATGAAGCCTAAAACACGTAGGGTTACTATTCAACAGTTTATCATTAGAAAACAGTAATTTTTAAATCTAGATTTCACAAATCCTCATAGGCTCTAAAAACCATTCTTGTTTTGTGATTTTTAAATTTTTGTTTATTTATTTATTTATTTTGTCCACACCTGGCAATGCTCAGTGGATCATAAGGTGCCACCAGTGATTAAACCCAGGGCTCCTACATGTAAAGATTGTTCTCTAGTTCTTTTATTTTTTGCTTTTAGGGTCACACCTGGCAATGCACAGGAGTTACTCCTGGCTCTGCACTCAGGAATTACTCCTGCCAGTGCTCAGGGGACCATATGGGGTGCTAGGAATCGAATCCGTGTTGGCCGCTTGCAAGGCAAATGCCACACCACTGTGTTATCGCTCCAGCCCCTGTTCTCCAGTTCTTTGAGCCATCTCCTATCCCTTATATTTTAGTTATTATTTATTTATTTATTTATTTCTCGTGACCATGTCCTCATACTTTATTTGTTTATTGCTGCTTTTTTGTGCTTTATTAATTTATAAAATTTTTAAATTAATCACTGTGAGATATAGTTACAGACTTATAAACTTTCGTGATTAGGTTTCAGTCATACAATGATTGAGTACCCTTCCCTCCACCAGTGACCATTCTCCCCCACCAATGTTCCCAGTATCCCTCCCACCACCCCCACCCCATCCCCCCTATATTTTAATTTAAGATAGCTTACTAGGGTCAGAGAGGTAATATAGAAGTTAAGACACATGCCTGGCATATGACCGTGGCCAGGACACTAGTTTGAATTCTGACACCATATGTGGTCCTCTGAGCATAAAAGCAAGTGTGATCTTTGAGCATCATTGGATGTGGCCACACACCCACAAATAATGAAGCTCATTAATATTTATTTACTTATAATTTATTGGGGGTGGATTGTGCAGCAGCCCTCAGGGGCTATTCCTGTTTCTATACTTGGGAGTAATCCCAGATGTTACTTAAGGGATCATATGTGGTGTTGAGGATAGAAAGAGGGTTAGCGGAAGTAACTGCTTGCAAGGCAGGTGCTTTCTCTTCTAGATTATCTCTCTAACCCTAATGTTTATTTTTAATTTAACCCCCTCCCATCTACCCCCAACATTCCGCCTTCCCTTCTTTGCTGTGAGTTTGCTGGAGTTTACAAATCTTTTTTTTTTTTGCCTAGGGGGTGGTGGTCGGGAGGCATACCCAGCAGTGCTCAGGGGCTACTCCTGGCTCTGCACTGGAGTCACCCCTGGTGATGCTTGGGACCATATGTTATGCAGGGATTGAACTCAGTGGACTGCATGCAAGGCAAACGCCCTCCTCACTCTACTATCATTCATGCCCCCTGAGGTTCATATCTTACTACAGAGCTGCACACTCTGAGGCAGTGCTCCAGGGGGGTAACACTCCTTTCACAGCCATGCTCCCAGATCCCGTTTGTAGTTCTCATGAGGGTTGTTGTGTGTACACTTGCGTACTCTTAAAGGGTGGCACAATTAACAATGGACCTTGTACATTTTTAATTGTACTCCAAGAAGTTGGGCTGGAGCGATAGCACAGCGGGTAGGGCGTTCGCCTTACAAGCGGCCAACATGGCCGACCCGAGTTCGATTCCTCCGCCCCTCTCGGAGAGCCCGGCAAGCTACCGAGAGTATTCGATATGCCAGACACAGTAACAGCAAAGTCTCCAATGGAGACGTTACTGGGCCCGCTCGAGCAAATCGACGATCAACGGGAGGGCCTTTACCTTTTTACCTTTACCAAGAAGTTGATACACATTTTGGGGAGACTCTGGTTCCCAAACAGCAGATCTGTTTAAAGCACCCTTCTTAGCTAATGTGACCTCAGGGATGAAGCTTGGAACCTTAGGTTTGTAAGGAAAACTGGTGCTTTTACTTATTTATTTTTGGGGCCTCAACTTGTGGTATTCATGGTTTGCTCCTGGCTTCGTGCTCAGGGATTACCCTTGGTGGGCTCCCAGCACTCTCTGTGGTGTTGGGGATTGATCCCAAGTCGGTGCATGCAAGGCAAGTGCTCTACCTGCTATAATATCGCCCCAGCCCAGGCTGATGCTTCTAGCCATTGAACCATCCTCTAGACCCTTTACATATATATTTTTTCCAATTGAATTTTTTTTTATAGATTCAATTTTTCCAATTGAATCTATAAAAGGTGTAGTAACAGGCTGGAGCAGTAGTATTTTGGGTTAGGGGGTTGCCTGGCATGTGGCCTGAGGTCCCCTGAGCACCACCAGCAGTGATCCCTGACTGCAGAACCAAGAGTGCAGAACCTGAGCATTGCTATGTGTGTTCTTCTAAGAAACAAAAGAGGGGCTGGAGCAATAGCACAGCGGGTAGGGCGTTTGCCTTGCATGCAGGTGACCTGGGTTCAATCCCCAGCATCCTGTATGGTCCCCTGAGCACTGCCAGGAGTAATTCCTGAGCACAAAGTCAGGAGTAACCCCTGTGCATTGCCAAGTGTGATCCCCCCCCCCAAAAAAAGAAAAAACCAAACAATAACTCCCTCCCCCCCTTTGTTGCTGGGGGCTGGAGAGATAGTACAGTGGATTATATATTCTTGCCTTGTATACAGACAACTTGGGTTTGATCCACTGCACCACATTCGAGCCCCACCAAGAGTGATCCCTGAGTGTAGAGTCAGGTATGAGCCCTGAAGCCTGCTGGCTGTGACCCAAAAATAAAACAAAACAAAACAAATTCATTGCTGTATTATTTGAAATTTGTACGTGTCTTGTCAGGATTGCTGTTTTAAGTTTCTCCCAGTCTGGTTACTTGACCTATGGTACTGTTAATGTTCCTATTAATAAGCTTGAAAATGCTTTTTTTGTTTTTTTAATTGAAACTTGGGTGACTGCTGAAGTTCTCTATTTTTTTCCACAGAGCAAGTCCTTTGCAACCTGATCATACAGATGATGAAAAAGAATAGAACTTGTCATCCTGCCTAATGTCTTCTGTTTGTTCTGGTGTGCTAGCATGTAAATAAGTGCATTTGTCCCAACTTTGCTGAGTAGGCATTTAAATTTTTTTTAAAATCAGGATTTTAGATTTAGTTTTTCAAAAGCCTATAGTTATATTAGCGTTTTTAAGGTTAATTGTGGTTAGCTTATTAGTCTACATCATGCAGTTATCTGACTTCTTTCACTTGTGTTCTTGCTAAAAACAAGTCATAACATGGTGTTCTAATTATGAATTCGCTAAATTTGAGATTGGCTTAGATCGTTGTACTGCTGCCATTTGATTATTAGAATATTGCCATGTTTTCATTCCTTTTATTTGCAATTAAAAGTAGAGTTAAAGTTTTGCACATAAAAACGTTTAGTATTAATTTGAGCCTATACTTAAGAAAGGGGGTCAAAGATGCGAAAAAAATTCAGTGCTGATCTTTGCGTTAGCAAAATTTAAGGGCAATTTGATCCTGAGAGTTTAAATAGTTGATAAAACAACAAAAATGACAAAACAGCATAAAGTTGGCAGAAGAGGTCTAGCAGACTACATTGAAAGAGAAATTTTTCTAGAACATGCTTTTGATTCAGTATCATAAAATATTCCTGTTGGGTCTATACTTCTTAAAGTTAGAAATCAATAAGCCATAAAAGGCAAAAACTGTGATAAATGCAGACCTCTGTCTAAAATGTTATAGCTATCATATTTTCAAGATAACCCAAGGGTGTAATTGAGGAGGTAGGCTTAATATTTCGATAACTGATATGCTTTCTTCTTTCATTTTTTGCTCACTTACATTGCCATAAAAAAAATCACGTTTTAATAGGTATGTTTTTCTAAAGTTTGTTTTTTTAATAAAAAGATACTTATTTTCATAATACATGCATATTTTCTAAAATTATATCCTACTAGATTTATTCCTTTCAAATATTACTAAAAATCAAATGCTAGTTACCTAGTTAATTTTCTGCTTTGTCATTTTTAGATACAACGTAAACAGTACGTTACTGAATTGTGCTTCTTTTTTTGGTGGGCAGCATACCCAACAATGCTCGGGCTATTCCCCATAGTGTTTGGGAGCTCAGGGGATTCCCGGGATGGAACCTGGGGCTTCCTCATGCTAAGTATGCATTTCAACCCTTTCAGCCATTTCCCTGACCATGTTGCTGATTGTGAGCAGAGATTTTTTTAAATTTTTGGTTTTGGGGGCCACACCTGGTTCAGTGTTTACTCCTGGCTCTGTATTCAGGAATTACTCCTGGTGGTGCTTGGGGGACCATATGGGATGACAGGGATCCAAACTGGGTCAGCCTCATGCAAGGAAAGCACCCTCCTCACTGTACCATCTCTCTAGTCCATTTGCAATCCAGAGTTTTTAAAATTTTTTCATTTTTTTTTTTTTGTTTTGTGGGCCACATCCAGCAATGCTCAGAATTTACTCATTGCTCTGTGCTCAAGGATCACTCATGGTGGTGCTTGGAGGATCATATGGGATACCAGTACTAGAACGTATGTCAGTCGCATGCAAGGCAAGCACCCTACCCGCTGTGCTATCTCTCCAACCCAAGAGGGGCTTTTAATTTTTGTTTTATTATTATTATTATTATTATTATTACTATTAATTTTGCCTCTCCCAGCTGTGCTTGCTCCTGGCTCTGGCTGTGCTGGGGTACCAGGGATGGAACTTGGGTCATCTTCATGGAAGTTAAGCACCTTACTTGCTCTTTTGTAACTCTAGCCATGTGAACATAGTTTTATTCTTTTTCACTCTGGGGCCAGAGACCTTGCAGGCATTGCTCAGGGCTTACTCCTGGCTCTATGGGATCACTCCTGGCAGTATGCTCAGGGGCCATATGTGGTGCCAGGGATAAAACCATGAACAGGTTCAAAGCAATAGTACAGCGGGGAGGGTGTCTGTCTTGTACGTGGCTGAGTTCAGTCCTCAGCATCCCATATGGTCCCCTGAGCAGGAACTACTCCCCAGGAGTAACTCCTGAGTGCAGAGCCAGGAGTATTACTCACCGGAGTATTGCTGGGGGGTGACCCAAAAGGCAAAAACAAAAAAATCCAAAGCAAAACTGTCATCAGCCATATGCAAGTCAAGTACTTTTGCCCTGTCTGGCCTCAAATCAAATCTTTTTTTTTTTTTTAATTTTTTTTTTCTGAACTGTATATGTTTGTACTGTCTTTCTGACCACCAGGAATTACTTTTAACTTTGTAGGTTTTTTTTCTGCTTTTGGGGTCACACCTGGCAATGCACAGGGGTTACTCCTGGCTCTGCACTCAGGAGTTACTCCTGGTGGTGCTCAGAGGACCATATGGGATGCTGGGAATCGAACCCGGGTCGGCCGCGTGCAAGGCAAACACCCTACCCGCTGTGCTCTCTCTCCAGCCCCAGCTTTGTAGTTTTTAAGCAGACCTAAAAGAGACTATCTTTCTACCTCTGAAAAAGTATTTTCAAGAGATTGGGGGAAAAGGTGGTATGTCCCATATTGAGCTATAGGATAAAGATAACATACTCTGTAGCCATTTGAAATCAAATCTAGATCTGATGCCTACAGATCCAGCGTCTTATCGAGGGCATCTCGGAGGGCGTCGGGTGAGCCCACCACCTGCCCAAACAGAGCCATGTGTGTATTCAAAAAATGAACGAGCAACTCGGGTTCTCTCCTGCTATGTGCTTTCAGTGGCCATGAGCTGCTTCCTCACCCTTGCCTGCAGCTGCTGCTAATAGAGTATGAAGGAGGGAACAGAGCAGCCAGGCTTGTTGATGATCAGTCGCAGTTTATTCCAATCTTCCTCTCACCCTCTCCCATATTCCTCTTGCCCCCCTCCCCCCAATGCTACTCTCTCCATGCTCCATCTCACAGCCTTAGTCTAGAGCCTAACGTCCAAGCATTGGGGGTAGTAACTACACCTAGGTCACATATCACTCTCAACATATGTAAAGCCCTTCCTTCTGGGGAAGCTCTTCTAAGACAAAGATCTCCTGGTCGATCTGCTCAAGGCAGAATTTCCCCAAAGACATACTTCTCTTTTCTTTAGTCCATAAAGAATCATCTTAGATTCACTTCTTCATAATCTTTCTAGTCATTTTGTTTGGACACAGTAAGAGATATATTAATTTTATAGGGTGGCTCTCCTTTTATAGGGGACCTCTCACTATAGATCCCAGACTACAGTTCTCAGGCCAGATTAGTCCTTCCTAACCCCAGCAGGGTCCTTGTTCAGTCACTTCTCTTTGGGGCATGACAGAATTTGTCCACTACCATGCTCTTAAAAGTTTTATGGCACTTGGCCTGTCCCATTTCGATGCCAGGGTAGCTTACCACTTGTCCTGGGTCCATCCAGTCCCTTCATTGGAACCCTCCTTTGGGGTGCTAGGAACTAAGGGCAACTGAGTAAGTTGAGTAAATATAACAGATGCTCAGAAGTAAATATTGTTCGGAGTCAATTAAGTTAAAATAAGTTACACAAGCATAGCATTAACTGTCTTCCTGCGTATACAAAAAGGACATTGCCCTGAAGTAAACTATGCAAAGGACATAAGGTAAGGAAAAAAGCAATATTTCATTACTAATACAGAATTCAGAGTCCTTAGAGGAATCTGGCCTTAGGAGTTACAGAGTCTAACTTGGGGATAAATATGATTAACCAGTTGAGGAAGCAGAGCACAGAGAAGAGGTTAAAGATAAACACAGAGGAATGAGATTGCCTTGGGAGCACTGTGATGGGTATAATCCAATAAACCTAAACATGTGGCAAGGGAGAAAGGATGAACCAATATTATCCTACACCACGGCAGCCAAAAACCTCCATAACCTGTTCGCTGCCATGATCATGGCTGGATTTCACAAGCTTGGGAATCATCCAGGAATGAGTCTGTTGAAAAACTCAGGTATGTGGGTTTTGTGAGAAATCTGCAGGCTCTCAAGGAGTTGGAGATGGGTGACCTCCCCCTAGCCCTATGTTCTTCCTGGAGTCTGGTGGTCATGCCCACAAGCTTCTGGCACCATATATGCTCATTAACTGACCATGATCTACAGACTCAGAAAAGATCAGCAAGTTGCAGAGATGCCTCCAGACCCCACACGAGGCTGAGTCTCATATCCGAGGCACCCTGGAGAGGGGCAGGTAAATCCATCACCTGCCCAAACAGTCCCAGCAGCCAAAAACCTCCATAATTCAGTTGCTGTCATACTCATGGCCAGAATCCATAGGCTCTGGACGAGCCTCATCCATGAATGAATCTGTTTGAAAACTCAGGTATGTGGGTTGTGTGTATGCAGATCTCAAGAAGTCTGGATTGGGCAAACTTCCCCCTATTCTTCTGGGAGCCTGGCAGACAGGCCCACAATCTGCCTCTGGTACCATATGAGCTCATTTACCTCCACATAGCTCATTAACCAACCAAGATCCAGAGACTCATAAATAAATCTCAAAATGGATCAACAAGTTGCAGAGATGCTTCTGGGCCCCAAAGACAATATCCAGTTAAAAATTTAACCCCAGCTATTTCGCCTCATTCAAAATTTTAGAATTCCTGGAGCGACATCTCATACTCTACACCACTGGTATACCAGGAGTAGCACACCACAATGGATGGGATGTAAAGTAGAAGGCAACCAATCTTTTTTATTTTTCTTAAATTTTTATTAGTGAAACACCATGAGGTACAGTTGTAGACTTACAAATTTTTGTGCTTGGGTTTTAGTTATACAATGATCGAATACCCATCCCTCCACCAGTGCCCATTATCCATCACCACCAGTCCCAGTATCCCTCCCACCCCCATCCCCACATCCCACTCTATCTCTATGGCAGGGCATTCCCTTTTGTTATCTCTCTCCTTTTGAGTGCTGTGGTTTGCAAAAGAGACATTGAGTGGCGATCTTGTTCAGTCTATAGTCTACTATCATCATGCATCTCCCATCCTGAGAGGAACCTCCCAACACCCTTTATTTGGTGCTCCCTTCTCTATCTGAGCTGCCTTTCTCCCTAGCATGTGTGGCTGTCCTCAAAGCCATGGAGTAATCCTCCTGGTACTTTTCTCGGCTATTCTTGTGTGTAGTCTCCTATTTTGTTATTTTATGTTCCCCAGATGAATGCAATCCTTCTATGTCTGTCCCTTTCTCTCTGACTCATTTTGCTTAGCATGATGTCTATACTCATTGGATTTGTACTTTTCTTTCCTAAAGTTTTTTGACATGAAAACTTTGATAATGTAAATACCAAGCTCTATTATATACTTTCCATGTAGTACCATTTGTATATGAATTTCATGACTTCATCTTTTCTAACAGCTGCATAGTACTCCATTGTGTAGATGTACCAAAGTTTCTTTAACCAGTCATCTGCTCTCGGGCACTCAGGTTTTTTCCAGATTCTAGCTATTGTAAAGAGTGCTGCAATGAACAAACAAGTGCAGATGTCACTTCGACTATACTTTTTAGAAGGCAACCAATATTGGTTAAGAAAATATTAGCATGCTCAGGCCAAGCCTCACACACCAGAGAACATATTCCTGGATACATAAGACATACCCTACCCATTCTCCAAGAGTACCACATCACATTTGATGGAGTTTAAATAGTAGCAACCAATAATAGAGGGAAATATATGTAAATATATAGGCATATATTTACATATGTATATAAAAGTTCACAAGGCTCAACCTTTAACAACATGTTAGTGACATCTTATAGAAGATCTTAATGATCCCTGCCAAAATAGAACAGTCTTCACACTCTTTCCTCTATGAATACTTTTTTTGAGCATTTTCAGCAGTTTTTCATAACAATACAAAATATATTATTTTGATTCTGCTTTGGCACAGGGATTGGGGTTCGGGATGGAAACATCCCAAATATGGTGGTGGGAAGGTGTAAT